TTAGGGTTCTGGGTCTGAGTTGCAACGCCAATGCGAGGTTTTCAGTTTTGGAGGTCTGCAGGCATAGGATCCATGAAATAAACCATGACCAAGCAGGCTACACTTTAGCAAACGCTGCATCGCGCTCCAATCCAACTGGCCATCAAGGAAGTGTCTTGATGACTGCTAAGGTCCTAAACCCTAAAACACATGCTCCGGACCGTGAAACCATAAGCCTGAAAGAGGGTTAAGGTTCACATGCTCGTTAGTATCCAACTGGGTTCTTGTAAAGGAGCTCAGTCGAAACTGGAAGAAAGCAATGCATGAACACGTCGTAAATACCTGCGTACCCCTACTGTGTATACTGACCATAAAAAATGTGAACATTAGCAGTACTACTATTGATATCGGTACTCATTTCGGTGATGATGCTACAGCCAACGATACAAATTAATCACTATTTGTGTACCCAAAGCATAATGTTGCAAACCCTGACTGAGCCGTTCTATCATCCTGATGTGACCCTTCATCCCTCACGTACGATGTCGAACCTGAACTTAAGCTCCTAGCCTCCTCATGGCTCCTCAACGTGGCAGCAGCCTGACAATAACAATCTACGCCCTTTGTGGTTTAAGGGTTTCGTGTTCGGGTTTAACGGATTTCCGCGGGTATTGAGTCCGGGGTTCAGGGATTTGGGGTGTAGGTCCCGGTCTGTGCGAATAGATATGCTACAAACTCTGATATGTCTTTACCGAGAGAGAGAGAGAGAGAGAGAGAGAGAGAGAGAGAGACAAAGAGAGAGAGAGAGATAGAGACAGAGATAGAGACAGAGACAGGGACAGAGAGAGAGACAGAGACAGAGACAGAGGGAGGCAGGGAGAGACAGAGTTTTCACTGGTCAGGATAATCCCTACCTTCTTGGAGGTCTGCATGAAGGGTGTGAGATAAAAGCCACAGCGGCTGGACGTTTACAGTCAATGGCGTCGTTCGTATTTGCCGGAGATCAGGTTTCGGGCTTGTAGGTTCAGGATTCCGATAATGGCGCGCTTAAGGGATCCACTAAGCGTTCGTTTGAGGGCATTTTCAAGGGTTGCTTTCGGTGTTCCGTTCGACGCTCTTTTGAAGTAGCAATTGCTACTATAAAAACCCGTCAGGGTTGGTGCCAGGTTTCCTTGAAGAGTCTCAGATCCGAAACAACAGAACCCGCCTGTCTAACCCCTATTTCGTAACCCAAAGCCCCATTGAAAACAAAACAAGAACTCACATTGTGTACTGCCCCCACGCAGTAACGGTCCACAATGCGGCTAAGGGCCTCATATACCTGCAAAAATATTGCTGTTATTCAAGTGGTCTTGAGTGGGAGCAATATCCAAGACATAAAGCCTAATCCCCATTAATTGCTCCCGTACCCCAAGAAAGTTATAGGTGTTGGGATTGCTTTAGGGTTCAGGGCTTCATACACCAAAAGAGTCAGGTGTCAGTTATGGTTCAGAGTTTAGGGTTGCTGCTTTCATTCTCCGCTATACTCTATTACGAAATCAGCCAGCACCTGAAACCTATGTGCCTGCGCGCTTATGCTAACGCACCGGATGCGCCAAAGCTAATTACTGGTGAGCCCCAGCAGCCCTTGACTGCAAGCCAGTTTGGTAACGGGTTTGAGAAGTCTGGCTGGTTCTTAATAGGGATTGGGGGAATGGGTTATAATTAAGAACTGCTGTAGGGGACATTGAGGAACTATCATAAGCATCCATTCCTCCAATCCTACTAAGCACCAGACAGAGTAGGTCTTAGGGTTTCAAATCCCTGCCGACCGGAAAATAGCAACTTGCGTAGAGACTCCAATATCCTTTAATTGGGGAATATACGTTCAATTATAATCGTAGGATCCATAATATGATTTAAGGGTTCTAAGCCGGATGCCCAGTGTTCTTGGGCTTTGCATTACCCCAGAGTTTTGAAGCTTTTCCGGCTGCGGACACATAAGCAGAGTGTTTGAACAATACAATTCTGAAGTGCAGCTGCTGCCTTGCTAAGCAATAAACATCGCGATACTTGCATGCATTTCGTTTTCCAATCTTGTGCGATGTGCAGTTGATGGCTTTTGCCGAGCAGAAAACTCGCCTGCGTGGTGTGGTTTCAAAAACCGCAGCGTGCGAGATTTTACGCTATACGGAAAAGTTTGACTGTTTCGTGGAAGGAAACGACGATCATGTTGCCAAGATCGAGGGTGTGTGAATAGCGAACGTGCTTGATATTCATCGATAAGTAGATGCCATTTTTCACGATCGTTGTGCCGTGGTAAAGTGCCTGATAGCCTTGTCCGAAGCCTTCTCTTGATAAGAGACGATTTGCATTCGATGGCGTTGGTGCTGAACCCATTCTGGGTTACGATCTCGCGCTGAGGTTGATTGACAATTCCATGACGGGGAGTCTTCTCTGATAGTCCATGAAGTTCGCGATGGGCTTTGAGAGCAGATAGAGTAGCATTCCATTTTTCGGTCACCAAAATATCCCACTTTTCATTCCCAACATGGAAGGGGTTCGTTTTCATCTCCTCGTGCCCACGTGATTGTCCGTCATGTGCATCTGCTGCGTTCTTCAAGATGCAAAAATAAAGTGCCTTGACGTGTCCGTGGAGTGCTGCACCCCACAGCCAGATTTGATCACGTTGAGGGGGGGGTGTTGCAGGAATTTCGGCCCGCACCTTGTTCGAAGTGTGCCGATGAATACCTTGCCCACACTGCGGCATCCTCTTCCTAAGTGCGTATGTTACTATGATGATTAATGTTAATGCAAAACTGAGTATCTAGACATTTGAATTTGTAAACGTATTTAGCAGATGAAAACACCGAAATCACGAATAAAAGAAACTACGTCAAGCCACAGATGGATTGAACAACGCCTTGAGGCAGGATGCGTCCATCCTTTGCAGCATACCACCATCGAAGACTCCTGGCTTAAATCCGGTGAGGAGCTCCCGCTTTAAAGAAGTCCAAGTGTTTCGCTGCAAGGATGGAAGGAACCAAGTCTGTCCGGCCTGCCAGGTCAATCTCGTGGTGGATTGCGTGAACAGAACACTCTTTATAATTTGAGCCCAAGGACTTGCCTGTACGGGTTCGTCCCTGTCCCTTTGATAGCATGTTGTCGCTTCGATGGAAGCATCTTGCTCAGAATGTCGTCCAAGAACCATGGTGTGAACGACTTTAAGGTAAAGGGCCAGTGCTCGATCGTCGTCGCGTTTTGTCTACCACGCAAAAGATTGTGGAGCGCTTCCTTTACCTTAACCTCGGACCAACCCTCAATTTTGCTAACAGGAGTGTTGATTCGCTCATCAGTCCACTCCATGAACTGATTGCGGTTATTGGTCTTGGGACCAAGCTCGCGGATGATAACTTGTAGCCCTCCTCTCTGGCATGCTGGCCGATAGAGATTTTATTTTCGAACTTCGCCTTGATGAGCCAGCAACGTAGTTGCTTGCCACCCACTTTGTCAAGCATGAAATAGAGGCCCGTGAGACCAAGCCGGATGTGATTACCCCATTCAAACCGCAAAGGAGTAGCATGACACATCTGAACACAATCTGAAGCTGGTACCTTGTTGCGGTGAAGGTACACATGCTTGACGATGTGAACATAGGATCCATCCGTATTCTCCGACGGGAGGCGGCTGTGCAGTTTGTATGATGATTTGCATGCTGTATGGCGTGGAGGGTTCTTTCTTCAGGTTGAAGGGCTCAGGGAGGTTGGAATATTTGCTCTCACAGAAAAGTTTGTACAGGTTGTCAAACATAGTGGCGGTGACCTCGGTGGGTGATGCATGATGGCATCAGCTAAATGCTCAAGTTTAGTGGCGCTGGAATCGAGATGACGAACAGGTACACCGATCGTCACATCCCCCCGTTGTTCGGTCTGAACGAAGGGGTCGTCTCTCTGGACCCTGCGTCTTCATACCACCGACTTGCATAATTGCAAAGAGTTCCGAAATAGTGTTTTTTGGTTTTTTGTTTGATATTGTGTTTGTTTGTTTGTGGTTCTCATTTTGGAACGCCCTGGAAGGCATAATACACGCAGTGCTTCATGAGGACCGTACATGCAAGTCAGAAAAGGCCCAAAACGCTGGGCACGCGAACAGGTCTAATTGCCGATGTAAGGTATATTCCTTAATTAAGGAATATTGGCGTCTCTGGGTGTAAAGACTCCCATTCCAAAACAAAAAATATACCCGCAACCCGGTACGCCGGAAATATCCGCAAACCACCCTTAAAGCCTTAAGCCTCTGTTCCTTCCCTAAACCCCATACACCTTAAGCCCTTCAACCCCGTAATCCCATTGGATGTTTTTTCTAGGGTGCATTTGCTGGGTTGTTGTTATGGGATTCGGTTTAAACTACCATAGTAAAAAACCATACGTAACACTTATCATAGATCACTATCATGGCAACTTAGGTTAAAGCCCTGAGCAAGAACCCCGCTTGTTGTGGGCCTTTCTTCGCCGCAGAGCTGCCGGGACCGAAAGAGGGCGGCGCTGAGAGCCCAAAAGCAGGTCCGGCAATCCGAAGACAAGCAGAAGTGGGGCCACGGCAATCAAGGTTCTGCTGAGCTCAATCGGGTTTATTCTGAGGTGTTGCTGGGCCTTGTAAGGCTTTAGTAAGGGTTTGTCTGAGGTGTGGGGTGTGTAGCCACCCAGAGCTCAAGAGCTCTTAGTCTGAATCTATGTCGGGGCTGCTTATTCTGACATGGGGCCCTTCATAATCCGAATAGAGCTTTGGTGTATAGTATGGAACCCAAAGGAACACTGGCAGTTCCTGCGGCCTCTGGGAGAGGGGGGCCTTCTAATTAACGTCTTGGGACCCATCATACTCGAATCATGATAGTATAGGGAGTTTTTTAGGCGCCAAAATGACTGTAGCAACCTGATTTGGACACCCTGGTCCTAAAGCAGGTTTGGGATACCAAGCTGGCTCCTGACACGTGCTTCACCTGGTCGTCAAACCCTCATTCAAACTCTTAACGTACCCTCCACCTGGTAGTCGACCCCTTCGCAGAGTCCAATCCGCAGCAAATCGTGGGCCTGTCCCAGCCGGGCTTGGAATGCAAGTTCGAAGGCTTTGGCTTTGTGCGTTTGTGTGCGTATATATATATATATATATATATATATATATATACATACAGGCTGTAGGCGGACCACAAGGTTACGGCGAGGTGCCAACATAAAGGTACTATAAACAAAGTACATGGACGTGCTACAAGGATGATATAAGGGTATCATAATGAAGAGGTACTCTTACCTCTCTATCTATCTATCTATATATATATATATATATATATATATATGCATTTGTAAGTTGCTGCGAAGGGTTCCACATAACAAAGGTCCTATACGGCTACTAGCAGGGTGCCACAGCAAATACGCCAGGGTTACCATCGGGGTACCATGTATCCTTATTTGCAAGCTTACAGAGAGGAACCTCGCAGCAGACCTGCTGCTAAGCTTGTTCGAAACCCTGAATCCTACACCCCGCAGCCGCTTGAATGTGAATCCCGAAGACTGAGCCAGCAGCCCAAGCCCTGAAACAGATACTCTGGATCCTACAAAGACACACCTGTCCAGTATCCAAGGGGAACTAGCAGCTAGAGGGTAACTTTTGGGATGCTAGAAGCTTTATAGCAGCCCAAGAAAGCTAAAGGTTACCTACCCTGCTACTCTAAGCTTTAAGCCCAAAACCCTAATCTCTATAGACCTATTTTTCCTTTAAAGTGTAGCTACTGGGTTTAAGCCTAAAGGTTACCTACTCTAATACTCAGAACCTGTAATTTAAGAAACCCACCTGTTTAGGGTTGCTGAGCATGATTTTCTCATATATGACCTGAAAAAAGATAGGTTATCTGGGGCTAAGGTAAACCCTAAACCCTAAAACCCTAACCCAGGAAAAACAATAATACTTCTACAAGGGCCTTGACAATTACAACAGGGTGTTGGGGGCCAGTATACTACAGTTAGACGAAGGAACCCCCCAACAAATGCATTGGTAATTGAAGTCCCTTTTCTGAGTTGTCCTTTAACTACCCCTTCGAAAATTATTTACTATTATGGTTCTCTACAAAATAGTAGGGGACATTAAAAAAGATCCCAACGGACAACCCAGTCTTGAAGTCACTAGCCGAGTCGTTGTCTGGGCCCATGACATGGTCCACAAGCCCCGATGTGTCAATCGTGGGGGGGCCCTGCGGCCGGCGGAACGAGGGGTTATAGGATTTAGGGGTTTCGGGATTTGTTGGGGCTTTGGGCTTATAAGGTTTATGTTTATAGGGTTTACGGGTTCAGAGATTGATAGGGCTTTGGGCTTTATAAGGTTTAGGCTTTGGGGTTTATGGGATTTATAGGGCTTTGTGCCTCATGAGGTTTAGGTTTTGGGGTTTTTGGGTTTATAGGGCTTTGGACTCACAGGGTCTAGGTTTTGTAGGGTTAAGCGTTTATAGGGTTTAGGGCTTAGGGCTTATAGGGTTGAGGCTTTAGGGTTTAGGGTTGAGGGTGTTCTGGGGAGAGCTTTGAAGATACATTACAGCTACTAGAAAACCCAACACCCGAGTCAAGAACTGTAAACCCTGGCCCAAAACTCAAAACCCCTTCAACCCGAGCCGCGTGAACACCTGAATCCCTTAAGCTGAGCCCTAAAATCTCGGGAGCCTGAAGGCTGCTTAGGTCCACCTTGGACCCGACACCCCCAAAGCCCAGGACCTTAATTACACCCTTAAGACGCCGAACCCTAAACCCATCAGAATGATGAACCGTCCAGTTCTAGGCCGAACCCTTAGCCCAACAAACCGGAGGCGCGTAAGACTGTGCAGAATCCGACAAGGGTTTGGTAGTCTGTATGACTAATACCGAGAGTCTCTATTGTAGTTCCTTTTTGGTTAACCAAAATCTCTATTGTAGGATCCGAACCATAAAACTAGTTAACCAAAAAAGGACCTACAATGGATTTTATAGGTACATTGTAAAGTTCATGCAGGCCACTATCGCCCGACTCACCAAACAACCCAAAGTAGGTGCTTTTCATAAGCTTTCAGCCGCAATAGCAAAACTCAGCGGCCTCAAAAGATAGGATGACGGTAGGTGGGGTAATCCCCAAATAAGAGTCCTTGTATAGGGGATCCTTAATCCTACCTACCTTCCTCCCACCTTTTGAGGCCTCCAAAACTATGGGTACCACCGCCCCTCGACCCCTAGACGCGGTAAGGGACCAATATCGTCATACTAGTGACTCATTCGGGACCTGTTACGGAAAAACGCAATATCTCGACAACTCGTATTAAGATCTTGTGGCCGACCAGGGGCAGTAACTAATCCCCGTACTCAGAAAACAAAGCAATCTTTCCCGAGCGTGGACCTTGGGAAGGAAAGCATACTGCTACCGCTTAGGGTTCCTTAACACATCTGTACAAGCCACAGTATACCCCCCCAAGCCCTATGCTAATCATTATTAGAACCCTATAGTTACGCTATACCCGCATAGTAAAGTAAACCTTGTAGTATCCCTGTAAAGAACCCTAAACCCTAAACCCCTAAACCCCTAAACCCTAAACCCCTCAACCCTAAACCCCTAAACCCCTAAGCCCCTAAACCCCTAAACCCCTGAGCCCCTAAACCCCTGAACCCCTAGAAACCCTAAACGCAAGAACCTTGCAGGAACCCTGTTCTGCCGACTTGCCCTAAGGCTCCATGTACCTATATAGTATATACTTAGGCCTTAAAGTACCTATATAGGGACCCCTTTACGGCTTAAGTATCTACTATAAAGGTACATGGAGCCTTTGGGTTGCTTAGACATAGGTCCAGGCCTGCTCCCGCGTGCTGTTCGGCGTCGACGTGAAGTCTTGCCTCGATAGGGTTTAGGGTTTAGGGGTTTAGGGTTTAGGGCCGATATAGTAGAATGTAGGGTTTAGGGTTTAGGGTACAAGCCCAAAAAGTCCAAAGTACCTTTTATAGAGCCCTTATGGGCCTTAATCGTGGCTATTTGGTGTAGAATGGAGGGGCTTTAGGCCCAAAAGGTCCAAAGTACCTTTATAGTAGAATGTAGGGTTTCCATATTAGGAATTACTATTATGACTACTATACTTAGGCCTTAAAGTACCTATATAGGGACCCCTTTAAGGCTTAAGTATCCCCCATAACAGTACATAGGGTCCTGTGGGAAGCAGGGGCTTCTTTAACGGTTCTTTTGAGAGCTGCTTTAAGGGATGCTTGAGTGGGTTTAGGATAGTGGTGAGGCGGGTGGGTAGTTGGGGTTTGGGCTGTGGGCTTCAGAGTGCAATCGACGAGGCTGTAAGGTTTAAGTTTTCGGCTGGTGGAGTTAGCTTAGACCCCGTGTACTTGGAGGGTCGGGGGACTTAGTAAGTAGGTAGTAAGTAGACTTATAAGTACCCTAAAGGGGACCCGAAGTGGGGTTATGGTACTTATACGTCCCTAAAATAACCGGTTACTAAGTCCCCCGACCCTCCAAGTAGGATCTACGGCTTCTGGGTGCAGGCTTTTGGGCCTTGGCGTTGTGGGTTTAGGGGGTTTGATGCCGACGAATTATCGACTTTCCTCGCAAGCCAGCTGGGAAGCACTTATTACTATAGGGGCCCAAATGAACACCAATACTGTTTTGGGGATTCCTTCTTCTAATCATAGTATAATGGCCCCCAAGCCCTATTCCAACTATTAAGGGCCCGATATTAGCATCAGCAACCGCAAAACAAATGAAGAAACTAAAAACATACATACCCCAAAGCTCAAAGGACTCGTATCTGTTGTGCCAAAATCAACTCTCTCTAGGGCTTTCGGCAGAACAGCCCCAACGGACAGCCAGCAACGAAGGCGATGAGCAATCCGAAATTTGCCGTAGTGATCTTCGCGCTATGAACCCTAAGCTATCAACATATCAAGAGCCCGACATGCAGAAACGAACGCCCACTCTGAGGCCACCAGCCACCGCTGCCACCAACGCGCAGAGATAATGTACCTGGAGAAGGAGTCGTATTGCCAGTATATGTCCCAATAACAACACCACAAATCCACGTTCATCGCAGGCAGCCATCTACAAACGCAGCAAACGCGTGGCTTGAACCCTATATCTCATATCCAAGCATCATTTACATAAACGTCCGAAACTCTCCATGACGCTCTTCAACATGTACATAAGCTTACCCTCAAACAACGATTAACGATTCCCAGTCGTCTCTAGGGTTGAAACCTACCTATAGCCTCCATGGTAGTTCCATTTTTTCGGGTAGCCAAATTTAGATAACAGGATCCTAGCCATAAAGATGATTAACCGAAAACGATTAGGAGTCGCGAGTTTGCGTGCTACGCGTGTCGGGATTGGAATTCCTTAGCCATAGCTGCGGGATCCCCGGCCCGACAACCGAAAAGCCCGATTCCCCACAGCGATGCAAAAGCCTACCGCTTTGGGGGGTTATACCCTATACCTAGGCGGTCATAACCGTAAGGTTTGGAGATACAGGTATATACTATAGAAAAAGACTTTTCACGAATATCTGTATACATATATATATATATATATGGGTATTTGTCAAATTAGGGTCCCTTTTTGAGTACGCTAACTAGTAGGTGCCGTATTGTAGTCGGGACCCAAAAGGGACCATAATTTTGACAACCACTCATATATGTGTATATATACATACATACATACATACATACATATATATATATATATATATATATATGGAAAATACTCTTTCAGCAAGGGGTGCTTCCGTACTATGTTTTAAGACCTCTTCCTCAAGGCTCTTTGGGAAAAGCCACGTGCGCATGAAAACTTGAACCCTGCCATATGGGGGCTCCAACGATATTAGAATGGGGCTTTGGGGTCTGGTCCTTGGATTCGAGGACTTCCCCGGTTGGCGATGGCCCCCTGCATCTTGGCATCGTTGGCAAAGAACTTGCCACAAAAGATCAGGCGAGTGTAAGCTTCGGTCTGGGCATCATGATACTGTTGATGATACAAATCCTGCATGACCCTAAGGACCCCAAACTATGGTAATTATGGTATATTCCTAATGCAGGATTTATGTCATCAACCGTAGCGGTCTTCGTACGGCTTCTTCGCCTGCACGAACATGGGGTCCGAGCTTTTCAGCCGCAGGCTTCCATCCTTTTCCCGATGGAAAAGTCTGTTGATCACTGAGGTTCGGTAGGCCCTTGCGGAGCAATCACTAGGAGGCGAGTCATACATGTCGCAGATGTAACTGGGAATTTGGCTTGATTGCCTCATTTTCGCCCACTTTTCTCCTTCGCCTTTGTCTCGCTTCTCTCTGGCATCCTTGGTCCAGCTCGTGATCTGGTCGTTGACCCCGAACGCTACATGATGACCCCTTACTGAAACCACACCCTGAACTAAACCATGCCCCACCAGACCCGCCACCCTGAACAGCAAGAGCCTGAAACCCAAGATCATTAACGGTTTAGGATTCAGGAAATCCATTGCCTGCAGACTGCGCAGACACGCTTTCATCCAAAAAACTGGTATCCACAGCATCGCAAAACATGCACATGGGCTGATTGCGAAATCGGCTAGACCTTTTGCAGAAAAGGGCTCATTGCACTTAAAACTAAACCTACAGAACCCTAAACCCTAAACCTATAGCCCCCTAAAACCTTAAACCCTAAACGGATGGAAGAGCCCTGATATTAGGACGTTTAAAGGAGCCTCTTAAGGGATCTACCAGATTGACGGTTGAGGGTGCCTTTAAAGGGAACCCCTGAAGGGATCTGCTAGAAGACTTAGATAGCCCCAAGGGTCCAAAGGACCCAATAATCAGGTACTCGGTTTTAGGATAGTAGTTATGTAGGTTAGGATTTTGGGGAGTATATGATTATTGGGTACTTGGACCCTTGGGGTAGTGAACAGGGGAACTTTAAAACTTTTTGGCCTTATATATTAGCTCATCTTGGGCCCAATTGTTGAAGAAGAGAGAAGACCCCTGAGATTCGATTCCACCCATTATACTATAGTTCTAAGGAGCCAAAATAGTATTGGTAACTGTTTATTATATATAGGTAGTGTAGTGTGACAGGAGGCACCAGACGTCGCCCACATGGCCCGGGTGTTCCGGGTTGAAACGACCACCCAGGCGGTCAAGAAGCACGCGCTCCTCGTTTCCGGCATCGAAGGATTACCCAAAGGCCCCAAAGTCGTTCCTTTTTGGGGTTCATATATAGAATCCTATAACGTAATCCCAAAACGGAACTACTTTGGGGCCTCTGGGTAGTGTCCGGGCCCGCATGGTTTTGGGAATTGGGGTTTAGGGTGTACGGTTACGTTTAAGGTACCAAGTTGCAAAAGCTGACCGAGAGAAAGGCTTGGAATTCGGCGGACCTTGAAAGTGTGACCCTGCCGCCAAGGACCCTTAGCCTTTGCAGAGCCTTAGAGGATATAGCTGTAGGGGAACATGGTTGCACGGCTTCAGGGATTATAGGGGCTTGCGCACTATATTCAAAGGCTTCATGGTTTGCACATTTAGGGCTTCAGGTGTGTGACATAGCCCTCGGCAAGACAGCCTCAAAGTCTAGACCCTGTATTGACCACTGCGAAACTGGCTTGACCCTTCCAGAACCATTCCTACATGTTAACATCTTGAAAGGACACATACTCAAGATCAAAGAACCGAAACCTTTCTCAATTTCTCTCTGCCGGGTGCAAGTACTGAGGCCACCGAGAAGGGGTGTTAGGGTTTTGGGGGACTGTACAGATTAATTGGGGGATGCTTGGGTTCATGATTTCTGCGGTTCTCAGGCCCCAAAGCATAGCGACAATAGTCCTCGACGGTCCCCATGTGTCCTGCGGCATATTTGTTCGGGTCACCGCCTCATAAGTCCCAAAGCCGTGACATCACATGTTCACAAAATTGCCATGTCCCGTGCAAACGTGATTGAACGTCTATTTCTTTGGCAAGAGCCTTCGTCCGTCGGGGTAGTACATGTCCGCTCCGTAGGCGACAAGAACAACGTCCTGGTTTTTGGCGTTCTGCGGCCTGGTGTACGTCGTGTGCATCCTCGTCCCTTGGTCCGGCAGGAACTCCTCGAGGGGAGCCCGAGGAGTCGGCAACTGGCCCGAGGACTCTGATCTTCTGAGATCAGCCGCACACCCCGCGAAAGAAACATCTGGAAGCAAAGCCTTCCCACCCTTTTCATCACAGAAAGGGCCTCAAACGCCCCAAACCCCAAACCCTAAACCCTAAACCCTAACCCTAAACCCTAACCCTAAATCCTAAACCCTAAACCCTAAACCCTAAACCCCTAAACCCTAAACCCTACACCCTAACTATAAGCTTGTGGGGCTACTGCTAAGACTGGCAGCCTGGAACTCAAAGCTCCTTTCTTGTAGGCTCGTACCCGACCCCCTTCTTTTGGGGTATCTACTTTTCTATACAACAGACCCTAGCCATAAAACTAGGTATCCTAAAAAGGGGCCGGGTATGGGCCTCTACACTGAGCCTCTACATAAAGCCCTAGAACCAGGCAAAATCATGCCGCGCAGCCACTCCTAGAAGCAGAAGAAACCTACAAACTACAGCTTCGCCAAAGCAAAACCGTCAATAGCACCCGCTGTGAAGCTCCCAAGCTCTATCGCGTTTAGGCCCAGGGTTCAGGATTCTTCAACGGTTCTGAAGTACCCTGCCGGATTATAGAAGACTTCGGTATCCTTCCCGATCACTTCCATAAGACTTTCTCTAAAAGCTCTAGAAAGCTTCTTGAAGAGATTTTCTTCGTTCGAGTTTCTAGAAGGCTAGTTTTGAACTGTGCAGGTTCAGCACAACAGAAGGCTGACTGGTTAGACTGGCTTCGCTTTTGAAGGGGAGGCTCGGGGGCTCTCGTGAGTGGTAAAAGCCGATCAGGCGCATTTTTCAAACCCTAAGCTCCGGAGAGTGGCAGCCTAAAAGAGCAGCAGTACTATAAGGGCCTAAACAATTACCAATATATACTATTTTGGGGGTTCCTAATCATACTGATTCTACTATATGACACCCCCTACACAAATTCTTAAGGCCCCTATATTATAGCACCCGTATGGTAGCCCTTATTCTATAGACCCCGTTTAAAGGAACCCCTATTCTAATTATTAAGGCCCCTATGTTATAGTACCCTTATGTTAGCCCTTACTATAGACCCCTATTACAGGAACACCTATTTCTAATTACTGTATTACCTATAGTCTCCATTGTAGTTCCTTTTTTTTGTTAACCAATTTTATGTTTAGGATCTTATAATAGAGATTTGGGATAACCAAAACAAGGAACTACAATGGAGACTATAGGTAAGCCCCCCAAATTTTTGCTCCTCTTCCGCATGGGCCGGAGGCATCCTCGGCTCCGTTGTATTTAGGGCTTAAGCTTTGGGGTTTAGGGACTTTTTGGGGGGATCCAAACCCTACTGTTTTAGGGGTTAGGGTTTAGGGACTTTTTTTTTTTGGGGGGGGGGATCCCAAAACCTACCCTTTTTAGGGGTTAGGGTTTAGGGTTTGGTGACTTCTTTGCGGATCCCCAAACCTACTGTTTTCGGGGTTATACTCTATCTCAGAGGGTCCAAGTACTCCCTATCATAGGATTTTGGTACCTTTTTAGGTATCAAAGACCATCCATAAGAACTACTTGGGCCCCAAGGGTATAATTAAGGGGTCATAACCTGCTATTTTTAGGGCTTGGAGCTACAGGTCAAGTCTGGAGTCTGAAAACAAGGACTTTGAATGCTCAGCGTGTTCTGAGTTGTGGGCAGGGGGGGTTCTAGTTTCTGGGCGTCTGAGCTTTGTCCCAATAGCTTAGGGGCCCAAAGTTGGAGAAGATGGTTTCGCAGCACTGCATGAATATCTCGATTGGAACTATGACCTGGTGCAAAGGTGTAGGGACAAACCCAAGGGGCTACGAATTGCTTACCCCGGGGCATGGTCTGAACTCATACTACAGGATCAACAAGCCTGGCAAGTGGGGCTATCAGCCTTTCATACTGTTTTAACTTGCAACCTCGATTGAGGTACTTATGACCATACTTACGAACTCTCCAGATCCGTTAAGTGAGAGCCTTGCCACCCTCAACCTCTAATGCCAACAAGCCTCAACTCTCAATGTAAATCCGAAAATTTCTGAACACTAAACCCCGGACCTAGGTAACTATCCTTATACAACACATTTATCTCCTGACCCTAAACACAAACAAGGTTTAGCGTCCGATCCATGGCTGAAGCTTCCCACCCTTGCTACGCCGATACAAAGTCCTACCAAGCCCTGTTGTAAGACATCAAAACACCGAAAAACAACAACTTACAGTACACCATAAAAAGGTTTATGGCTTCGGGTTTAAAGTAGAAGCCAGAAAGTTGGAATATGATTATCGTAACCCCTTTATGGTAAATTATAGGGGTATCATACCATTAATCCATATTCCAACTTTCTGGAGTTCCCTTTAAAGGGTTGCAAGACCTGATAAACCCTTCAAAACCATCCCGTGCAGGCGAAGGCTCTTCAGGTCTATCCGCGCAACATAGCCAAGAGCCTAGAAGGCTTCGGGCTCCTTTAAAGGATCCTCGAAGGGTTCTATAAGAGATCTATAAGGGCTTCGGGCTCCTTTAAAGGATTCTGCAAGGGTTCTATAAGAGATCCATAAGGGCTTCGGGCTCTGTTAAAGGATTCTGCAAGGGTTCTATAAGAGATCCATAAGGGCTTCGGGCTCTGTTAAAGGATTCTGCAAGGGTTCTATAAGAGATCCATAAGGACTTCAGGCTCTTTTAAAGGATTCTGCAAGGGTTCTATAAGAGATCTATAAGGGCTTCGGGCTCTTTTAAAGGATTCTGCAAGGGTTCTATAAGAGATCCATAAGGGCTTCGGGCTCTTTTAAAGGATTCTGCAAGGGTTCTATAAGAGATCCATAAGGGCTTCGGGCTCTGTTAAAGGATTCTGCAAGGGTTCTATAAGAGATCCATAAGGACTTCAGGCTCTTTTAAAGGATTCTGCAAGGGTTCTATAAGAGATCTATAAGGGCTTCGGGCTCTTTTAAAGGATTCTGCAAGGGTTCTATAAGAGATCCATAAGGGCTTCGGGCTCTTTTAAAGGATTCTGCAAGGGTTCTATAAGAGATCTATAAGGGCTTCGGGCTCTTTTAAAGGATTCTGCAAGGGTTCTATAAGAGATCCATAAGGGCTTCGGGCTCTTTTAAAGGATTCTGCAAGGGTTCTATAAGAGATCTATAAGGGCTTCGGGCTCTTTTAAAGGATTCTGCAAGGGTTCTATAAGAGATCTATAAGGGCTTCGGGCTCCTTTAAAGGATTCTCTGAGGGTTCTATAAGAGATCCATAAGGGCTTCGGGCTCCTTTAAAGGATTCGCTAAGGGTTCTATACAAGATCTATGTGAGGAAGGGCGCTGGACGCGTCGCAGAAGACTCTGGGCATTCCAAGCAAGGCTCCTACAAGAGATTCTAGCATCGAAATACTCTAAACACTGAGAAAAGTCCTAACATAACACAGAAGCGGATTGCACACTCTGCAGCTTACAGCTCATATTCGCAACCAGAATTCCATCCGTTCTTCTCACCCAGACCTTCCAAAATCCCTTAATTAAGGAATATACCTTAAATTATAATAGGATCCCTAATATGATTCAGGGTATATTCCTTGATTCATCAAGGGGTTTTGGAGTCTCTGGGCAGGGTGTTCTCGTTGAAGGCTGTTCGTCTGACCCTAACCCTGTAACAGTTAGGGTCAGAAGAAAAGCTAGGGTTTATAGGGCTTAGGATTTTACAGGGCTTTGGGTTTAGGGTTGTGTTGCTTTTTTTTTGAAGGGTTTAGGTTTTAGGGCTCAGGGCTTAGGGCTTTAGGGTTTTAGGGTTTAATCACTACAGTAATTTTCCTAAACCCAAGTACCTGATTATTGGGTCCTTGGGACGCTTGGGGTAAGGCTCCGAAGGAGGATACGGCTTCTGCGCCCGAAGACTGTCTTCTTTACGCAGGCTTTGGGTGCTATGTTGGGCTTGGGGTCTACACGATTCCTGGTCGTTCTGTTGTAATGTCCCTATCCAAAACCACTCTCAGTGCCTCGTGCTATGGGCTGAAAGCCCCAAGCCCTCCGCACAAGTCCCCTCAACTGCCACGCCAATAAAGAAGCTGTAGAAAGCGGATTCTGTGATCAGTGTGCACAATGCTGTAACATGATATAACTATGACGGGAACACGAACGAATACAAGGGAAAGATGGTTGCGCACGGCTACAGTTTCGGATTTGGGGCTTGGTGCTTCCGGACCCCGCACACCACCCAAGGACAACTGTGAAGCCCAGCTACACAGTGGGGTATTGTCTTATGAAACTTGTATGCACCTGACACTACCCGTAAACGACGTCCAGAAAGCAGCATCCTAAACATTGCACACCCCCAAAATGCAAACGAAAGCTATTCTCACTCCTCAGCCCTAAACCCTAAATCCTAAGCCCCAAACTGTAAACCCTAAATCCTGCACCCCACACTCTATACCCTAAACCCTAAACCCTGAAACCCGAAACCTAAAGTCGTTTTCACCCGCCTCTGTGACCGCAGTGGCATCCGAACACCAGGGCTCCTGTGGAAAGGGCCGTCTCTAGGCTATGGCTGCGGGGTTGCGGATTCAGGACCGTTCCGGGTTTAGGGTGCAGAGGTTTAGGGTTCCGGGTTTACGGTTTAGGGTATAGGCCGTATAGGGGTTTAGGGCTCAGGGTTTAGAGGTTTAGGGCTCCGATTTTAGGGGTTCAAGGCTTGGCGCTAAGATGCACTTGGGTAGTTGTCAAAATTAGGATCCCTTTTTGGCTCCTTATTATAATGCGGCACCTAATATTTAGGGTACCCGAAAAGGGACCCTTATTTTGACAACCACCCACTTGTCGACTCTTCCACGGGTCTTTGCCTCTTGGTAGTTTAGTCCTGACTAGGGCCCCCAAAAGCACCTAAGCATAAATTAGGATAGGGATATCCCATATAAACCCCCTTTAAAAGGAAGCCCAATTAAGTAGGGATATCCCGGTAAAATGCTTGTGCTTATGTCCTTTTTGGGTCCCTAACTGACGCCTGAGGCAAGAAATATCGATGAAGAAGCTTTAGCTTTTAGAGCTTGAGGGGTTGTTGGGTTTGGAGAGGCTAGACTTGTAAGCTTTAGGATTTGGGGCTTAGGGCGCAGGGCTACAGGGCTATGGACTATTGGGTTTTGGGCTTCAGTCGTTTTGATTTCGATGCGCTTACGATTGTTCTAAGTCTCATCGGTTGAAGGGTCTTATCGTAGCTTATACGCGGGTATGGGTGGCTTTGGGGCGTCGAATTATGTGAGAAATACTCTCTTGATACTTCTACTCTAGTATGGGTGTTTGCTGGTGATCTTGGTTTTTGGGATGTTCAAAGGCGGTCGTCGTTGGAAGTGGAAGGAGTTGTGGCAGGGCACTGGCAGTGGCAGTGATGGCAGCAGTTGTGGTGGCTAATTGTAGTGAGTGGCACTGACAGGGGGAGTGGCAGTGGCGATGGAAGTTGCAGTGGCAGTGGGAGAGTGGTTGTGGTCGTCGTCGTAGTAGCATTGGTGGTTGTCATCTCTCAGTTACTGTATTAGTAATCACCACTTTAATGGTGCTCTTGGTGTAGCAAGGTTTCCAAGATTCGATCTAGATCTTGAGCGAGGAAGGGGGGGGTTGCCAATAGGAGCAAGACTATCCATCCATGCCAGGCGGGAGGAACAGCAGGGGCAAATTGCTGCTTGTGGTGCAGTCACCTGTCTCGCAGGTTACAGTATAGACTTCTATGAGACCAGGGCTATGAAAATCGAGACACACACACAGCCCCGAAAACCCTGGACCCCAGAGCCGTGAAGCCCTAAAGACCCTGGAGCCCTCCAGCCCCAAAAGCTTAAACCCTAAGGGCCCTAAGGCTTTAAACAAACTCCAAGAATCCTGAAGCTCAAAACCCCTCAACCCTACTAAACCCTACTAAACCCACTAAGCCCTACTAAACTGACCCTTCTAAACCCTACTGAACCTTTACTAAACCCTACTGAATCCTACTAAAACCTACTGAACCGTACTAAACCCTAGTAAACCGTACGAGCCAAGGGCATGTCCTTCGACAGGGACTCCCGGCGTAGAGGCGCAGGAAGTGGCCGTGCGGCTCTCCTCAGTTATCGATCCCGTTTGGGAGTTCGGTCCTGGGGTTTAGGGCTTAGGGTTTGGGGTTTAGGTTTTAGGGTTCCTGGGTAGCCCCTTTATATTAAGGGTACCAGTGTTTCCTACTACTATTAATCTGTCATCTTCGTGCACCCTGCTCCTGGTCGCCTTGTCGGTGAGGCGTGTGCCGTTGGGTGTACTTGAGTTCTCTTGGTTGCCCAGTCCGCGAGAGAGACTTAGGCAAGCCAAGCGCCGGCACTGAGTCCTTCCAAATAGAAGACCCAAAAACAACATACTTTACTAGAATATATAGGCATACACATAGTAGAAATTATTGTAACTGCATGTAACTATACTGTGATATGATAACCTCCTTTGCAGAAGGAGTGCTTTTGAGAGTGAAGGTCGACGTCTTGCGCTTCGTACCAGGTTCTGAGAGTTGTTAACTCTAAGGCTCTGGGGACTCATATGTTAAGGCCTTTGGGCCTAAAGACCATATTATCGTCTACCATCATCTACTATCATGAACTATCTACATAAAAAAATCATATAAAAAACTATCCTGTACCATCATCTACCATCATAGACTGTACAAGGCGTTTGGGCCATATTGATCCTTAGGGTAAGTATGCTCCTGCAGCATCGCCCACTAATCATTGTGACCCTCGACACCAAGTCCCATGATCCTGTACTTGGAGGGTCGGGGGACTTAGTAAGTAGGTAGTAAGTAGACTTATAAGTACCCTAAAAGGGACCCTAATTGGGGTTATGGTACTTATAAGTCCCTAAAATAACCAGTTACTAAGTCCCCCGACCCTCCAAGTAAGTATACCTACAAATACCTAACCCTCAGGCTCACCAGCACCAAACCCTGACGCCCTAAGCACTGAACCAAAACCCTGCAAAAGCCCTAAACCCCAAAACCCCCGAAACCCTAAACCCCTAAACCCTAAATCCTAAACCCCTAAACCCTAAACCCCATAAACCCTAAACCCTAAAACCCTAAAGCCCCAACCGCCCGAAACCCTGAAGACCCGAGGCAGCCACCCCTGCAGCTTCACCGTGAAGACGGACTGGGCAGCTTGGGCAGCTCGCCTGGAGGCAAGAAGGGGTCAAAACCTAAACCCCTAAGCCCTAAACCCCAAAACCCCGAAACCCCCAAACCCCTAAACCCCTAAATCCTAAACCCCGAAAACCCTAAAACCCCTAAACCCCTAAATCCCAAACCCACCCTGAAACCCTTCAGGGTGTCGGGTTTCGGTGGACTTTCAGGCCCCGGCCTTCAGGTTTCCGGATGTTTCGCAATTTTATTGAAGGGGGGGGGCGGGGTGGGGTGGCCGGGGGTTCGGGCTTCTGCTTTGGGGCTACATGCTTTAATGGCGAAGAAGTTCCACACCACAAAATGCAGAAACCCAAAAATCACCCGAAACCCCAAAACCCCGCATCCTAAGCCCTCAAAGCCCTAAGCCCACCCTTATAACCTCAAACCCTGTAAAGCCCTACGAACCTCGAGACATCCTAACCCTGAAACAAGCCCTCAAACCATATGCCCGGCCTATGAGAGAAAGCCAAACCACCCGCCCCAGAGCCGAAAAGTGGTCAGAAACGGAATTCCTTAGGGCTCCATCGATTTAGGTTTTAAGGGTTTAAGTTTTAGGGTTTAAGGTTAGGGGTTTAAGGTTTCGGGTTTAGGGTCAAAGGTTCAGGGTAAAAGGTTTAGGGTGCAGGATGGCAGTACAACACAACCCCAAAGCGCGCTTCGCGTATAGTACACCTGCAAGGCCTTATGCCCTGCAAATAGCCGTATACGCCCGCCATGAAACTCTAGGAACCCTTCTGGTGGAACCCTGTAGAAGTCCCATAGCAACCCCATATGAAAAGGCCTTACATGCACAACCCGAACTCCACCTCTGAACCCAAAGGGTCCCTATACAAACCCTTACAACGCAGTACCACCCCAGAGCTCTCAAAAGAGCCCTGAAAAGGAATTCCAAAAGGATCCCTTAAAGGAACCCTTAGGGGTTCCTTTCAGGCTCGATAAGATGAGGGTGCCTGAACACCCTAAACCCGAAACCCTAAACCCCTAAACCCTAAACCCCTAAACCCTAAACCAGCCGAGAAGCAAGAGCTCTGCTGCCTCGCTGTTGGAGATCGCCAGTCCATCCGATGTGCGCGTGGCAAACATGCCTTGAAGGGTTTAGGGTTTAGGGTTTAGGTAGCCCTGCTGCAAGGTTTACCTGGACCCTAAGAAACCCACCGTTTTAGGGTTCCTTAATACGATTTCCTTATATAAGTCCTGAAAAAGGTAGGTTATTTGGGGTTAAGGTAGGGCTAGAAAGTTTAGAGTGCGGGGCGTGAGGTTTAGGTTTTAGGGTAAGGCATCGGTTTTAGGGCTTCGGTCTAGGGAATCTTCATAATTGGAATACGGAAGCTTTAGGCGTTCCTTGTCAGAGTTCCATTGAGGGGCCAAGAAAGGTTATCAGAGGCCATGCTTAAAGACTCAGGGACTTAGTCAGGATAGGGTGGCAGGGGATATGCTACTAGAAGTGTAATACACAAGTAGTATGCCGGTATATTAGCATGATTGTTTTCAGACCCGTATTCCCCTCCAGGAGCAGGAGACTTGGTTAGCATGATGGTGGGGTTTGGGGGGGGGTCTTGGGTTCAGGTACTTGAAGGGTCAGGGAACAGTCCATGTGCATCGGGGGTCGGATGTGAAGAGGCTTGATTTGGGACTTTCCGGAAATAGGGGACCCTAATATAGTACCCTAAATAGTAGGATCCTTATTATAAGGGTCCCAAAATAAGGTACACCTATTTTCGGAAGCTCCCATTTGGTACAATAAACCGATGGTGAGGAGACCCTTCTCTTCCTGAGATGTCTTGCTCATCCTCCATGGCTTGCCACTGAGTGTGGGCACTGCGCGGGAAAATGGGAAAGAAAAGAACCTCCAAGAGGGCAAACAACCCAACTATACACGCGCATGGAGGTTCTTGGTTCATCACATTGTTGGCACGTCCTTGGTGCGAAGGACATGTCCTGACCAGACGACCAACAGGAGTGGCTTGAGCCAGACCTTGGTGACGGTTCCAGTGTACGCCTCGTGTCACGATGTGCCAGCTGTTCCAGCCGCCGTAGCGACGAACGGCCTCCCACCGAGCCGCGCCCTAATGGCAAGAAAGCTCACTTTACTGGCTCTGAAAGGTGTCATGTTTGAGCTTGGGGTGTCTTTTTTCTTAGAGGATCATGGGGCTGAGCAGGTATGGACATATAAAGTAAGTCATAAATACCTCAAGCAGCTTTACTGCTTTAGTGGAGTTTTATGTAGACATAACTGTATTACTGCTTTTGCTTACCTTGCCAGAATAAGATTCAAGGCCCAGGGGTGTGGCGGGGCTTCGTGGATTTCAACTTGGCCCTCTTTATTTCACAACCCAAAACCCTAATTTCGTGTTTCGGGTGCAAAGACTGTACAGTCGGTATTCGCCGTCACAAACAGGCTGCGCAGGCCTGAAGCCCTAAAATCCCTGAGCCGCAACCCTGAACTCTAAACGTAAGCCCGAAAGCCTCAAGCGAAAGAGGGCTCGTATAAGTTCAACAAAGGCGTCTTGTAACTAAGTTAAGCAAATGGTTAAACGTGCTGGCCAGGATGTTTATGGGGTTCGGAGTTCGGTTGTGTTGTTGAGGGTCACAGTGTCTGGGTTGGGTTGACTAAAACCTGGACCCTGCAGCGTCAAGTATATGCTACACCCATGTCAGAAGCAAAGACTTCAATAAAATCAACCCTGGACTCCGATACCTTACACCCTAAAACATAGGGTTGTCTTCCGGAACCTGACCAAACCCTGACTTGCAGCACCGTTTATTTGGTAATCTTGCCCCTTCTTGTGAAATCCTAACCAGAAGCAAGGCGACCCGAACAACAACTGCTGCAACTCGCGGTGTAGAGTCGAGGGAGTCAACTGAATGCAGGGACTTCGTAAGAAGGGCTACAACTTCTTATGAACACCTGAGCCTGAGGCTACAAGCTAACATGTATCTAAGCTTACCTCAACTTACGAAGTCCCATGATCCTCATACTGCTCAAGATCCGACCTGTTTCATGCCCAGGAGCGGAAAAGCAAGTCTTGTCGCTGGCTTTCCGTGCCGACGAGGCAAACTGCCCAGTCCTGCATGTGCCAGGCTCATCGGTTAGGGTTCCGAAGACGCCAAACTTCATCTTCAATCCGAAACTTCTCCACCCGGTTTAGAGTGTTGCCCGATATAAGGGCCTCAACAATTAGAACAGGGTTGTTGTGTTTCGGTTTGTTTTCGGGTCATAGAAAGCTTGTGCAAGGGCCTATGGGTTTCTACGGTATAGTATAGAAATCATCTATGGGCCGTCGCAATTAACAGGGCTTTAGATTATAGAAGAATATGGGATAATAATGTGAAGGACCCCTTAGGAACAAATTTTGGCGAGTGTTCAGGACCCCTATACTGAACAAATAGTTACAAAAGAACCTAAGCCAGAGGAGAAGTCTCTGCCCGGATTTTGAGCCATTCTCATCTATGATTATAAGGCTTAAGACCTAGGGCTAAGGGGTACAGGCCTTGGCAGAGTAATTCAGATGTAGGTCTTCTATATTAGGAATTACTGTTATAAGATTTAGGGAACCTCCCCGATAACAGTTCCCAAGCCCCGTTGGGACAGTGCAGCTCCTCAATCCACTCATGGACAGAGACGGTACCTGGCGGCTGCTTGAGGAAAGGCTTTGGGCTTAGGGCTTAGGGTTTAGGGCCTACGTGAATCACACATTACCTAGCTTTGTAAGGATTTACAGAAGGAATTAGACATAGCCTCAACAGGTAGGCAGTAAGTTATTGGGGTTAAGGTAGGGCTTGGGAATTCCGCATTATAGAACCTCAACTAATCTACTTTGGCCTAAGTTCCCGATCACGGCATACGTGCCCGGAATCGGAATGATTCGCAGCCGGGCAGGGTTTAGGGCAGGCGTGCCAAAGCCAACTGATTTCTGCCACGAGGTCGAGGCCACTGAAAACACAAAACATGTATTGTACAAGAAGACTTCTTGCTTCTTGACAGAAACAGACTAATGAGTAACAGTTGCTCGGAGACTCGGACGTGCAGCTGGATCCAAAGCTGTGCGACCTGTTCGGGCATCTCCTGCTGGCTGAGAGACTAAGTTCCGCAAACCCTCGGAAGGAGAAGGGACGTGTCCGTCTGTCACTGCCTAAGTCTCCAAACAGTGAATGTGCAAGCACACGTTGCCACAAGGCCGCCGTGGAGTGAACCAACAGCCAGGACGGTCCATGAGGGCAGGTGCATTTCAGGCCTGTACGTCCGAAAGAGCCATAGACTCTGCCATAGACACTACGCAAACTATAGCCATACGGACTTGAGATGCCTGATCCGACCGAGGTCGCTTTTGCCTCCGGGCCTTTTGGAGGCCATCCGTGTCTGCACATAGTCGAGGAAGCTGTGGTCATAAATGGGGTTATGCCGGAGAAAGTTCATCATCTGGGTGAAGCTCATGCGAGAGAGGAGCTTGTGCAGATTCTTCATGGTCCTGACTGGCGAAAGGCATGGGCTGGAGTACTTCTCGATCTCCCAGTGGATCTGCTGCTGCAGGTAGAAAGACTCGATAAGCACCCCATCCAAAGAGGCACGCTCAAAGACCTGCTGCAAAAGCAACTGCAACACCTCTGGGCTCGTCAGGCTCCTAGGTGGGGCTTTCAAAGCGGTTGAAAAATATTAGTAAATAAGATCCTCTTAAGCCCAATAAGGGAAAATATACAATGTCCCAAAGCCCTACCTAGGCTCTGTATAGCTGCTCTCTGCTTCTTGTCCGGCTTAACCGGCTTGACCTTCTCAGTGCCCCTTGACCACTGCAAGTGCAGATCGGTGTGGGACGCATCCATGTTCGCGGCTGACCTCGGGCTCTATGCATGGGGTTAGAGCTGGACGTTCGGAACCCCTGCAGCCAGGTGGCAGATGCCTTTGTCGCACTGCCTGCCACTTGGTTGAAACCTCTCTCGTCCTGGGAGAGCGGCAGAAAGTGCTCTCAGAGTATCTTCACCGCTTAAAGAACGGATCCTACGAGAGGTTCATGACTTACACGCGACGCTCATGACGTTCCAGAAACCCTCACGTGGCCCTGCTGCCCACCTGCGAGGCCGTCGTTCGAAGGACTTGGAAAGGCAATCAGAAGAAACGCCGAAGTACGCTACGACTATAATCTGTGGTCGGAGCCTACACGGCTGCCAGGAACCAAGACAGGTGGAGTAAGGGGTTCGTCTGCGGTTGAGTTTCCATGGGATTTGGTTGCAAGATCTTCGCGTGGCATAGAGGAGTCTATGTGGCTGCTTTGGGGGCCTTAACAATTAGAATAGGGTTTTGGGACCCTGTATACTATCAGTATAATAAGGAACCCCCAAAATAGTCTCGATACCTATTCCGGGCCCCATATTACATGGTTTATCCAAGTCCACAACGGCTGGGTAGCTTGGGTCAAACTCTGCGGAAGTTGCTTCGAGTTTCTTGGGCTGAAAGCAGAAGAACGCACCACATAGGTACAGGCTGCTAGATTTGGCTTCCGAAACCCTATAAACCCTAAACCCGTAGACCCTAAACTGCACAAGAGCCGAATTACAAGCCCAGAAGCATGCAAACGGCAAGCGCCGCATGCCGGTCATAACAAAGCCGGGCACCGAAGCGCTCGAAACCCCCCCAAATGTACTTCAGAAACTTCAGGAACCCTATAGATCCTGAACCATATAAACCCTATCCGTTAGCCCCATGTAAACCCTAAGCCCCATATAGACTCTAAACCCTAAACTCCCAAAAACAACCCAGAACCCTAGACAGTAGTCGTAGTAGTAGTAGTAGTAGTAGTAGTAGTAGTAGTAGTAGTAGTAGTAGTAGTAGTGCTACTGCTACTACTACTACTACTACTACTACTACTACTACTACTGCTACTACTACTACTACTACTACGACTACTACTACGACTACTACTACTACTACTACTACTACTACTCACGGCCCCATGTTGCTCCGAAGCCCTAAACTTTGGACCCCTAATCATCCGTAAGACCGAAACGGCTCCCGGGAAGCACCACTCTTGGATTTGTCCATGTTCTCGAAGAAACGGCCCATGAGGTCGGCCGGGGCCGAAGGGAAGGTCCTGTTTTGATATCATTGATATCCTACGGTGTTGGCTTTTGCGATTTTGGTGGGTTTAGGGTTTATAGGCTTTGTAGACTACAGGTGTAGAGATTGAGGTCGGGGGTGATAGGTCTTAGGGCCAAGACTGTTGGAATTGAGGGTTTAGGCTTTGGCCTTACGCTTTACCCTAAGGGCCCAAGCACCTACAGTTATCAGATGTTCCCTCTTGTACTTAATGAGATAGTTTATGCAAGTATCAATGGCGGATGCCTGAGCGCGATGTGCTTTGGGAGCCGTATAGGTTAAGGAAAGGGTTTATAGTGCGTGTAGTCGACGGGTTAATTACGTGTATCTCCTGAAGAGAGATCCACTGATCGGGACACGGGGGGGTTAATAGTATTGGGGGACCGTTAGACAGCAATGGCAGCGTTCAAAGCTCCTCCAACTGGTTGCTTCAACCCACGGCCAAAAGATTAACATCACGATCACAAAAAGAGTTTCCCTCTCTCTCTCTCTCTCTCTCTCTCTCTCTCTCTCCCCCTCTTTATCAGGGCTTGAGGGGCGTTCAAAACCCCCCGGGCTCATGGCCCCGCCACTTGTTATGGGGCTTTGTAAAAGTGTAACACCATAACTGGTTCCCCCTTTTTATGCAACGGACTATATATTGGACTATGGAAGTTTCAAGGGTATCGGTTATCTTTGCGACACTCCAGTGAAGTGGGGACTCTCTCCCTGCTTCCCTCTCTCTCTCTCCCTCTCTCTCTCGCTCTCTAGAAGTGCTCGACTGCGACCAGGAATGGACTACACGAGTCTGTAGTGCGTCCGTATGTTTTGGAGTTCTGCGGGGTGTAGGGGCTTGCCTCTGCATACGTTATACCAGGGCTTTAGGGCTTTGTTTTCGGGTTTACGTTTACGGTGCGTAGGGTTGTGGGTATTGGGTCGCCCGAAACACCTGAGATCCTAACTTTTTCTTAACCTATGAATTAGGTTAAGGGTTTACCCCTGAAAACAGTAAAGACAGCCCTCTGCAGCGGACACTCAAAAACCTAAGCCTCTTTTAAACAAAGGTTCCTGGTAACCTTTTGTGTCAAGAACGAAGAACCATCCAAGCAACGAAAACCCTGAACCCATCTTACCCCCTAAACCCCTTAACCCCATAAACCCCTACACCCCCAAACCTTAATTAAGCCCGTAAACCCTAAACTCCTAAACCCATGGCCTCAAGAAGGCAGCGCGATCCTACACCCCTGAACCCCCAAACCCTAAACCCATGGCCTCAAGAAGGCCGCAACCCCTACACCCCTCCCAAGCCCCCAAATCCCTAAACCCCCAAACCCCATGAATCCACGGCCTCTAAATCGCTTAAACCCTAAACCCCCAAACCCTATAAACCCACGGCCTCAGGAAGGCAGCGCGATCTACAATACCGAACTGAGACGTCGAGGCGACCTCACTTCTCTGCACGGCTTTCGGGTCGGGTTTCGGGGTTTCGGGCTGGGTTTTGGGTTTAGGCTTTAGGGGGTTTTAGGCTTTAGGCTTTAGGGGGGTTTAGGGTTTAGGGGGGTTTGGTTTAGGGTTTAGGGCCAATTGTACATTAAGGATCTCATAAGGTACCCCATATAGGTGTGTTCGGGGTTAGTGTCTACCAAGGGCCCTGTCATTGGGTATTTGGGGCATAGTAGAGGGTACTTGCGGGAACTAGGTAGGGTTCCGGGCTTGGGGTTTCGAAAAACCCTAAACCCTAAACCCCTAAACCCTAAACCCTAAACCCTAAACCCCTAAACCCTAAACCCTAAACCCCTAAACCCTAAACCCCTGAACCCTAAACCCCTAAACCCCTAAACCCTAAACCCTAAACCCGGCTTAGGGCTATAGGGTTCTGGAACCCAGGCTTTGCTCTTGGGGATTTGTTTGGTGGATGAGTTCAAGACTGGGATTGAGGCCTGAAGAGTCAGGGATGGACCATCGTTCCCAAAGGGTCCCATTTACTGTTACGGGGGATACTTCCCTAAGTCTTAATAGTAATCCCTAATATGGAAACCCTACATTCTACTATATCGGTACATAGGACCCTTTGGGGTTGTCCTCCAATCCTGAACACCTTCATGGTGCAGGGATTCAGAGGTTTCCAGTATCGATGCGATGACCCTAAACACTGGCCCTCCCCCAAGCAAGGTGCTAAGACCTTTCCTACTATCAGTCTACCCCTACACCCCAATCCTGAGAACCAAACGGTTACGATTTGAGGTTTAGGGCACGGCCCTGGGCTCCTATAAGCCCTAAAACCCTCAACGCCCAAACCCTCACAGTCCCAAAGCCGAACGTCTCATCCGTACCTGCCAGGCTTTTAACCTTTGGAGGAAGCACGGAACACCGACACTCCAACCCCTCGCATTTACCCAGTGCCCTTTGTCCCGCAAGGGGCATATAAGGCCATGCGTAAGAAGAGCCCAGCATAGAAGACTAGTACAGTTATCATGAGTTCATCCTTGAAAAGCACAAGAAGACTATTAGAGCAGAGATCCTGCATATGGATCCAGGGACGGAGGAATACCTCTTCTACAATACAAAAGAAAGAAGATCCGTACAAAAGGATCCGTAAAATCAGGCATATTTAAATAGCCCGATATCTTTTCAGCCCATACACAACAACCATAAAGCCTTTTCACAACGGGGTCCTGAAAAAAAACAACCCAACTAACAGGAAACCCTACTAAAGGAACCCTATCCCAAGCACCCTTATGGCCTTATGGTAAGTCCTTACAGAAGCCCTTCCCCTGGGATGGTCTCATACCCTAACCTAAACTCTACACCCCAACCCCCGTTTACAGAGCCCTACAAACACTAAAGCCCGCTTACAGAACCTTAAACCTGAGTATTAGTTGTCCAGTATCCTGCGGGAACTGAGGGCGCACCTTTGGGGTTACATAGGGGTTGCAATAACCCAGAAACCTTCCCTAACCCCACCCCTCCCACAGAATCCTCTACAGTCAAAGCCCAAGAGTTGGAAACCCAATAACCTCAATCCTTAACAGTAATGTATAGGGAATCCCAGCACTATTTGGCCTTAACAAGTTTTCCAACTTTCTGGGGTTCCCTATAAACCCGAAGGCCTTTACAGAACCCTTTTTAACCCAAGGTCCTCTTACAGAAGCTTAAACCCAAGGGCAAAAGGAGGGACCCTTAATAAGGACCCCGAGGTATATACCCTTAATATAGCTATTAATACTTTGATTAAACTTACCTTTGGTTGGTAGGGAATGGAAGAATGGTAGTAATAGTGGTTAAAAATTGTACTCCGTTCCTCCATTCCCTACTAACCAAAGGTAAGTTAACCCTAAACCCTAAACCCCTAAACCCCTAAAGCCTCTAAAGAGCGCTTTCGGCTTGCTCGGCTCCCCACCGACTGCCAGGCAACTCTGAGCTCAAGGCAAAGGTCCTTTTCAGGTTTAGGGTTTAGGGTTTCGGGCGCTTTAGGGAGCTCCGATACTGAACTTAGAACCCTAGCAAAAAATTAGAGTTTTAGCTGTTTCTTAGGGATTATAATAACCAAAAATTAAACATTAATTCTAAGTACCCCTAAGGTTCGGGGTGCTGAAGGGCTTTACCAGCACACCCCTTCAAGTACCCTTGAATAGAGCCCTTATGGACCTTAATAGTGGGTATTTGGGGTATATTGGAGGGGCTTTGGGCCCAAAGGGTCCTATGTACCGATATAGTAGAATGTAGGGGTTTCCATATTAGGGATTACTATTGAGACTTAGGGAAGTGTCCCCGATAACAGTACATGGGACCCTTTGGGAGGGAGTTCTTGGTTCTGAAGGGCGTTAGGGTATAGAGTCTAGGGTTCAGGGTGTTTAGGGCTTAGGGATTTAGGGGTTCGGGTTCAGGGGTTTAGGGTTAGAGGGTTCAGGGGGTTAGGGATGTGTAACGAGATGATGTTTTCACTTAAGGCATGCTAAGGCTTCACAAAAAAACGGCTGTAGGATTTTTTTGTAGCGTGTTCTTATCAGGCTTTAGGGCTTTGGGCAAGGGTGGTTGGGGGTTAGGGGTTTGGGGTTGTGTAAAGGGTTTAGGGTTTAGGGTTTAGGGTGTACAGGTCTTGGTACGGCTTCGGTAGGCTTTCTAAGCAGGTTTGTTTGCTCAGAAGTCCCACTTAAGGGTGCTTCCCTGGGCACTGCCCCCATGCAGTAAAAGTCTGTACATAAAAGGGTATCAGTAGAGGCCCGGAAAACCACCGTATAAGTATTATCCAACTGTTACAGAGTGGTGGCAGTACCCAAGCTCTTCTAATCAGAACATCTGTGGTCTATGTTAGGATTCCATCCTTAGGATCTGTGGCTTTATCTAATTGTCTGACAATTACATCTCAGGTATTATATACTATAGAACGTATTCTTTTTTAGGGGGTTGAGGTTGGAGGTTGGGGTTCGGGTATTAGTGGAGTTTCGGGTTCGGGGTGTTTGGGTATAAGCGTTGGGGTTGGGATGATGTGGGCATATAGGGTGTGGGTTTACGGGGCTCGCCCTTGTGAAACGGGAAACCTTTGCGAATCCCTATGGGCCTGCCAAGTCTTGATAGAAGCTGTATGAGCACGAAAGCTGTGCAAAACCCTTTCAGACACCTTATTATCACCTTTGTCAGAAAGCGCACAGACATCTCTATAACACACCTCTCATGGAACCATGATTTACCAACCAGCCAAACAACACCGCTGGAAACAAAAATGCAAACATTGAGACGACACTGATAGATGCAAATCCAATCCTGGCAGTCTGCTTACCATTTAGGGTTTAGGGTTTAGGGTTTAGGGTGTTACCAACATTGCAGAGTCCTACAGAACCCGTCTGGCACCTGGAAAACACCCTTCCAACACACGAGTAGAAGTCTGCAAAACCAGGAAGAACCCTTACAATACACCTATCAACAGAGAAGTTCAGGCCACTGCCAGAAGAAGTCTAGAATCTAGAAGAATGAACAGATCCTTGTGGAACACATGTAGACAACTGACCTGTTTGGAACCTTGTAAATTCCTGGTACAACCCCGCCCTAAACCCTCGACCCTCGCCAAATCCTAATAAAACCCTACGAAACATTCCTGTTAGAACCCTCGAAACCGACATACTAAACTCTAGGCCCCTTACACAACCCCCCGAGACCAATCCCGAGTCCTTGTGGACGCCCACACGGTCTCCCCAGGTCAACAGCTGCTTCAACTCATCCCTCTCCTGCCACTGCTATATTTTTGGTGCAAGGCATACTTGTTAGAAGATGTAAGGTTTAAGGTCGTAGGTGCCCTGTCTGTTGTATCCTTTGTTGCCGCTTTGTGGGTTGGCAAGGTGTGCTTCTGTCTCCGCTTTGTTTGGCATCGGGGCGTCCCCTGGCAGGGTACTGCGGACTGCAGAGACCTGACACAAGTCTTACCCAGACCTTGATGTCCTAAGGCTGTGCGGCAAAACCCCAGCAAGGGTCGAAGCCGCTGCCGCAACCCTACACCCACAAGCCAGTGCCTAATTCCAATCCACCCCTGACTAAAAAACCCTAAATTTTAGACGGCTCCGCCGAAGATGCGCCAGCGCAGGTTGTGGCTTTAAGAGTAAAAGGAAGGCGGGATTTAAGGCAAGCAACCGACACCCATAAAACAGTTTAAGTAAATTGACAGTTTGAGTAAATTGCAACATGTAAATAAGGGGCCAGGATTAGGCTGGGCTGGGCTGTGCTAGGCTGGGCTGGGCTGTGCTGGGCTGGGGGAGGGCGGGGAAGGGGGGTGGGGGGCAGGGGGTTGGGGCCAGAAGGGGGTGGGGCGGCAAGCGGCGGGGGGCGGAAGCAGGGGGGGTCAATCTCGAGGCGGTGTCAATCTGCCCCGCCCGCCGCCGGGGCGGATTGACACGGGGGGGGCCGGCAGGCAGTGTCAATCTGAAGGCGGCCCGTGTCAGCGGATTGACACCGACCGGCGCCAGATTGACACTGTCAATTCCGGGGCGGCAGTGTCAATCTGGAGGGCGGCCCATGCCAATCCGGCAGTGTCAATCTGGAGGGCGGTGGGGTAGGGGGCTGGAGGGCAGGAAGAAGGGGGTGGGGTGGCAGGGGGCAGAAGCAGGAGAAAATTGCTTCAAAGTCTTAAAAAGCGGACTTGAAGACACTTTTAGATCGAGGTAGGGCTGCGCTTTTAAAGCTAGGAAGGAGAAAATTGCTTCAAAGTACTAAAAAGCGGACTTGAAGGCACCTTTGGAGCTAGGGCTACACTTTTAAAGCTAGGGCTACCCCCTAGGAAAGAGAAAACACTTTTAAAGCTAGGGCTGCACTTTGAAAGCTAGGGCTACCCCTAGGGAAAGGAAATTGCTTCAAATTGCTCAAAAGCGGAATTGGTTAGGGCGCCAGCAGCTGCGCTGGCGATTCGTTAGCTTGGAAAAGAAAAAACACGCTTTTAAAGCTAGGGGCGACTTTTTAAAGCTAGGGGTGCCCCCTAGGGAAGAGAAATTGCTTCAAAGTGCTAAAGAGCGGAATTGGTTAGGGCGCCAGCAACTGCGCTGGCGAACCCTAATCCCTAAACCCTAAACCCTATAATCCCCAAACCCTAAACCCTAATCCCTAAACCCTAAGCCCTAAACCCTAAACCCTCAACCCTAATCCCTAAACCCTAAGCCCTAAACTCAAAGGCATTGTGGGTGGGCGGCGCTTAAGCCCCTCGACCTCGATGGCGCAGAGCGACCCAAGACGCCTGCCCGCCTCCCAGGGCACGGCAGGGCAGGGCAGGGCAGGGAAGGGCAAAACAGCACAGGCCCGCCTAGGTCCTTGGAACCTGCTCGCCCCCTGGGGGGTCTCTTTTTGGAGGGGGCCCCCCAAAGCCAGCGCCCTCCAGGAACAGGAGCTTGGGGTTTGGGGTAATGACTTTGTTAAGGGACCAGTACTGGTCCCGAGCCGAGGAGAACGTGTTCCGGTGCCGGGTCCGACGCGTGCTACGGTCCCCATGGCTGTGGCCCTGCCCTGCCCTGCCCTGCCCTGCCCTGCCCTGCCCTGCCCTGCCTACCCTGCCCTGCCCTGCCCTGCTCTGCCCTCCTGCCTGCCCTGCCTGCCTTGCCCTGCGGTTTGCGGTTTGAAGAGAGAGAAACCTTGGAATGAGTTTAGGTGCTAAACCCTAAAAGGAATAGGTTTGGGTGGTTTGGCCGCCTTAGACGGCGTGGGGTGGGAGAATTATAAGAGAGAGCCATCCACAATCAGGCTTTAACGGCCAGTCGTCACATGACGACGCACTCGAAAAGACACTGATCCAAGATCATTCCGCTTCTGCGCCACTCTACGGCAAACCTTAAACCCTAATCCCTGATCCCTTAACCCTCAACCCTAATCCCTAAACCCGAAACCCTAAGCCCTAAACCCTAAACCCTCAACCCTAATCTTTAAACCCTCAACCCTAATCCCTAAACCCTATAACCCTAATCCCTAAACCCTATAAACCCTAAACTAAAAGCAACCCTACTATGCCCTTCCAGGCTTCTAGCCAGAATCTCGAGATGCCGGCCGGTCCACCGGGGGCGGTCCGCCATGATATGCCGAGCATCAGTGGACGGCAGTCCACTAGCTAGGATACCCAGTAACCTAAGAATAAAAAGGCCTCTCTTTTTGGTATTGGGTAACTTTATAAGGAACCTAGGATTACAAAAAAGGGAATAAGGGTACTACTGGGCATCCTAGCTACGCAAAGCATCGGACGTGGCGAGCGACAGCGAGCTCCGCCAGTCGTCCGCATAGCAACAAGGGCATTATAATTTAAGTCCTGAAAAAGGTAGGTTCTTCGGTGTTAAGGTAGGCCCTAAACCCCTCAAAACCTCGATCCTAAACTCTACGTAAACTATAAGCTAAACCTAAACATAAGCACAAAACAACAAGCAAACGCGTCGTGCCGAGATCGAAGGCCCAGATCCGACCTGACTACCCGTCCGCAGAGGACGATGCCCCGAGACCTCCCAACATCCCTCAATGAAGGAATACAGTAGAAGCCCAAAAGTTGGAAACTCCATAGCCTCGATCCTTAAGAGTAATGTATAGGGAATCCCAGCATTATTTGGCCTTAATCCGGTTTCCAACTTTATGGGGTTCACTGTCGACCTTAGTAAGATATTATAGTAGGACCCCTCATATCATATCCCTTAATTAAGGAATATACCTTAATGGCTTATTATAGTAGGATCCTCCTATGGTCTAAGTTTAAGGTACATTCCTGAACCCAGCGGATTTCGCGATCTCTGGGCACAGAATCGCAGGCGGAGTCGGAGTCTACCGTCAACAACATCCTCTCAGACTCCTATGAACGACGAGGGACTGCAAAGAGAGCATGTATACCGACACGCGCCTACGAAATTACAAGCTCAGTCCTCAAGCTCCAACACCCTCTGAAGCCCTCAAATAAATGCTAAACTGCTAAACTAGAAGTGGCCCCCACCCTGTAATAGTGGTCTTATAGGAATATAAATAGGGCCCTAATATAATCCTTATAGTCACTATTAGCCCCTTCTAACCTGAAGCCCTCAAGCCCTAAAGCCCATATCCTCAAAACTCCAGAAGCCCTGGAACTATCAGCCACAACCCCCGTTTCCGTTACCCAAACCCTAAACCCAAAATCCTAAACCCAAAGCCCTAAGCCCTAAAGCCTAAATCCCAAACTCTAAACCCCAAACCCTAAACCCTAAATCCCAAACCCTAAACCTTAAATCCTAAGCCCTACTGTAAAACGCCTCAACCCCCTTTCCGTTCCCTGCGCTAGCCTGCGAGCTCATAGAGCGCTGGACAGGGGGGCGCATCCTCTGTCGGGCTACGAGCAGGATACTTCTCTGAATTAGGGTCTCTTTTAGGGGTCCCTTAAAGGGATCCTCTAGGGTTTCTATAAGGATACTATATGGGTGGTTGTCAAAATTATGGTCCCGTTTTGGGTCCCAAATATAATACGGCACCTACTATTTAGGGTACCCAAAAAAGGACCCTAATTTTGACAACCACCCATATGGAACTAAAGTGCATTGTGAAAGTTAAAGTGACAAGGCCTTGTTGGTTTTGGGTTTGGATATGGTGGAATAAACAGGGAAGGGGACACCCCAAAGCACAGAAGCAAAACTCAACATAAGGTCGAGAAATGCCATGATCCTGTGCTCGGGTTGGTTGGTGGCGGATGGCTTCCGACAAAACCAGGCCATCGACAGGTTTCGTTTTCTAAGCCTTTACCAGACCTCATCTTGACGCTGACCCAAAAAGGTCTGACCATTTCTGGAAGCATTCTGGCAACAAACCTGGTAGTGCTGTCACCAGGCTCTTCTGAGAATATGAACTACGATCTGGTTTACGGCGCCTATCTTCAGCATAATCATTCCCAACATCGTCCTGTTTCATTATCGTCACCAGCTCGGCAGCAACACCAGCACCAATCAAATCACCTCCGTCAACAGCTTCACCAACATCATCACCATCACCACCATCAATATCATCATCATCATCATCACCATCATTGCCATCATCATCCTAAGCACGCGCACCAGTGCTGGCGCTGAAGCACACCTGCAACACCAGCACCAACATCATCGCAATAGGCTTGAACAACCTTCGGCAGAAACCCCCAAATTAAGCGCAGACCGCACCTCAAACCCAGCCCTACAGTAGAAGCCAGAAAGTTGGAATATCATTATCGTAACCCCTTTAAGGTAAATTATAGGGGATCCTACCATTAATCCATATTCCAACTTTCTGGAGTTCCCTTTAAACCTGAAGCCCCAAGGCAAACCCTAAACTTCGAACCCTTGGCCTGGCCCTATAGAAATCATCAACTCAACCCTGAACTATACTGTTTAGGGTTTAGGGTTTAGGGTTTAGGGTTTAGGGTTTAGGGTAGTGGGAACCCTGGCAAAAATTATAATTTTAGCTGTTTCTTAGGGATTATTATAACCAAAAAGTAAAAACAATTCTAGGTACCCCTAAGTGAACCCCAAAACCACAAGCCTCAATGCAAGGCCTCCAAAGGTGGCCAGGCGTGGGGTCGTCGATGGCTGGATCCATAAGCGCTGAGGCCGAAACTCGCCTGAAGGCAATGCTTTTGATGTGCACAGAGCCCACTGAATGTTCCTTGAAAGGGTTCCTCACAGGGTTCCCGTAGGGTTTTCGTGTAAGGGTGGGCTATGCGAATCCCAAAACATATAGGTTTGTCAGTCAGCGAGTTTATGATCACTAGGTATCTCGACACTTACGTTACGGATAGTCTATCTTCGGGTTGAGGGTATACTATACAGTTCAAGGTGTGGACTTAGGATTCCGGGCTGCCCTTGCCCATTCAACCACTGAAGCGTCTTCCAGAAAACTGAGAGAGCCTACGACCCACAACTCAAAGGGGAAAAGGAGGGACCCTTAATAAGGACCCCTAGGTATATACCCTTAATATAGCCATTATATACCCATTAAAAAGCCATTATACAGCCCATTATAGGGTAGGGGTCCCCATTAAGGGTCCATCCTTTTCCCCTTTGAACAACCAAAGACAACCAAGTCACTATGCAGGAACGCCTCAGGCCCAGGTAATTGAGTACTCCTCTAAACTATACTGGGTCAAAGGGTCCCCCAAGTACCTACATAGTAGCAAGTAGAGTAGATATCGTAGGACTTAGTAGTATGGTTTATGTAAGTCTTAGGTACTTGGGCTGATGACAAAAGCCCTGCATGACCCATAATAAGGAATATGCAATATTTCCCATATATTCCTTATCATGGGTAATGCAGGATCTATATCATCAACCGTTGGGATCCTTGGGGGGGTTGGGTGGGTGGGTACTCTTATCATACGGAGCCGGAGAAGTCCCACAAAATGCCATATGTCATGTGGGTGGTTGTCAAAATTTGTGTCCCTTTTTGGGTCCCTGTTATAGTACGGCACCTACTATTTAAGGTACCCAAAAAGGGGCCATAATTGTGACAACTACCCAAATTACTTAAAGGGACCCTCAGGGCGAGCCCAACAAATCACTAAACCCCAGACGTGGAAAATCCTGTGCTTGCAGTCCCGATGCTGTTCCAGCCCGAAGATCCAATCCACAAGCGGGGAAGTGATGTTGCAACCTGGGCATTGGCTGAGAAAGCTGGGGCGGTTGTGGGTCAGGGCTTAAGAATCTTGATTTAGGGTTTATTAAGTTTTGGAACTGAAGGCCGAGGGCAGCGAGTCTCCGGGGCTCCATTCTTTCCAGGCTGGGACGCTTACAGGAGGAGGCTCTCCTGCAAATAGCACAATGATGGGGTTTAAGATTCTTGAGGTAGGGATTCCTTAATATGAACCCTACTATGGGAACCCTAATCCCTGCTAAGCCCACATAGGCTAAAACCCCTTTTGGCCACCTATGACACATAGCAAGGGAATCCAAACATTGGACGTGGAGTTTGGGACAGAGACTTGAATGGGGGCTGTCACTTCAAGAAACGGCACTCAAAGGTCAAGAAGAAAATGATCCTCACCCCACCCCTCAACCCTCAACCCCAACACCTAAACTCCCTAAGCCCTCAACCCCGTCATCACCAAACCCTAAACACCCCCAACCCTTAACCCTGAGTCATGTAAACCCTCGAAAAGGAAGACGCAGGGGGCATCGCGGCGTTCGGAGGCTGTGGCGTCTAGGTTTCACTGTAGTCCAAGGGTAAAAGGAGGGACCCTTAATGAGGACCCCTATAGGTATATACCCTCGATATAGCTAGTATATACCCATTGTATATTTCCCCTTTGATGTAGGTTTGGGAGGAGAGACTCACGGCTTCGAGAGCTTCTGCATTGTTGAGTTTTGCGGCTATACCCAGAGTCTCCATTGTAGTTCGTTTTTCTGGTTAACCAAAATCTCTATTACAGGGTCCTAACCATGAACTTGGATAACCAAAAAATGGAACTAATGGAGACGATCGGTAAAGCATAGACACTTTCCTAGATAGAGCTTGGGGGTCTTGTAGGACTTAAGGGGTCCAGAGACGGGTCAGTTGTGGTCTGGTGTTGTTTGCATTGCATTCTTGCAGGACAGAAGGTTAGTCCGAGCAGCAAGTCAGCTGGTGGTGGTGGTGGTGGTGGCAGTGGCAGTGGCGGTGGTGGCGGTGGCGGTGGTGGCGGCGGTGGTGGTGGGGCTGGTGCTGGGGCTGGTGGTGGTGCTGCTGCTGGTGCTGGTGCTGGTGTTATTTTGGGGCTTTGGGGTTTAAAGTTTAGGGTTTGGGGTTGAAAGTTGCTGCTGCTGTTATTGCTGGTGCAGCCCCCCTAAAATCCGCCTGCAACACAAGCCCCCCAAACCATGAACCCTAAACCCTACACCCCTGTGCCAAAACCACCCTAAACTGAACCCTAAGCCCTGAACCCCCAAACCCTAACCCCTAAACCCTAAAACCCTAAACCCTAAACCCTAAACCCCTAAACCCTAAACCCCTAATTAAACCCTAAACCCTAAACCCTAAACCCCCAAACCCTAAACCCCTAAACCCTAAACCCCTAAACCCCCCCTAACCCCTAACGAAGCATGTCGTCGCGGTACGCGCCCACTGCTCGAACTTTTCGTAGTTGACTGCAGGGCTGCCATCCAAGAGCTCCTGGAGGACATGGGACTCAGGGCTTAGGGCTTAGGCTGAAAAAAAAACCAGAAGATAAAGGGTTTAGGGTTTTAGGGTTTAGAGCTTAGGCTGTAAAAAAAAAACCAAAAGATTTAGGGGTTAGGGTTTATAGGGTTTAGGACTTTAAGGTTTAGGGCTTAGGGCTTAGGGTTTATAGGGTTTAGGATTTTAAGGTTTAGGGTTTATGGGCTTAGGGTTTATAGGGTTTAGGGTTTTAAGGTTTAGGGTTTATGGGCTTAGGGTTTATAGGGTTTAGGGTTTTAAGGTTTAGGGTTGATGGGCTTAGGGTTTATAGGGTTTAGGGTTTTAAGGTTTAGGGTTTATGGGCTTAGGGTTTATAGGGTTTAGGGTTTTAAGGATTAGGGTTTAGGGTTTAGGGTTTATAGGGTTTAGGGCTTGGGGGTTTAGGGTTTATAGGGTTTAGGGGGTTAGGGTTTATAGGGTTTAGGCTTGAGGGTTTAGGGTTTATAGGGTTTAGGGTTTAGGTTTTGGGGTTAGGGTAAGTGAGTTGCAAGTTTGGGTTTTAAGGCTTTGGGTTCGGGACTGGGATTGGGGGTTGTTGGGGGACTCGCTGAAACGGCAACAGGTCATGTATGCACAAACTAAAACCCTGAACGATTAAATCCTAAAACCCTGAGCCCCAAAAACCCTTAACCCTAAATCCGAAAATCCTAAAACCCTGAGCCGAAAAACCTAAACCCTAAAACCTAAATTCCTAAAATCCTAAGCCCCAAGATCCTAAGACCTTTCAACTACCCCGGGCCCTTCAGGAGACGAATTTGGGTCCAAAGGGTAAGCGAGGAGGATGGTGTGCCGAAGTCCGCGTAAGTGTTTTTTAGGACGTCAGGGTTTAGGGTTGAGGCAGTTTAGGGCTTGGGATTGAGGATTTTATGATTTTAGGGTCTAGTTTAGGATTCCGGGATTAGGTAAGGCTTAGGGTTTCGTATTGTACCAGCAGACCGCACTGCCAACTTGGCACCAGTCGAGGGGAACCACAATCAGAACAACTGCCTCAGGTGGGAACCCAGCGGTGCAGCATCCGCAAGGCTATCAACAGAGAAAACCAACCACAACCCCACCCAAAGAGGCCTTCCCCACAAACTTACCTTGCAAGGTCCCTTGGCTCAACAGGTTACTGCTTGACTCGTGGCAAGGCGATCGGTCCCTCCCACCCTGCCTTGAGAGCCGCCGCCACGGCAGCTTCTGCCGAATCGTGGCAGCGGCCGTCGCTTAGGGACCTCGCGGAAATGATTGAATGCAAGACCCAATCAACAAGGGTCCCAAGTACCTACATTGCACATCTAGTTGCAGCATGGGGACACGTGACTCATGTCAAATTTAAGCAACTCTAAACAAATGAAAACCCAAGTATTGAACTCAAAGTCTTTCTAACCGCAAAACTGCAAACGCAAAATCCCGAAGCCCTAAACCCAAAACCCAGAAAAGCCTTAGGCGAAGATGAAGAGAATTCTAAATCCTAAACCCTATCAAGCCCGCCAGGGACAGCCAAGCGACTTGGCAAACTTTTGCAGGTCGCGATCGGACCTCGCGGAGGTCGTGCTTTCGTCTGCTTCAGGATTTGTTGGTTCATGGTTTTAAACCCCACCGCTCAACATCATATCAGAGTCGCAAAAACAGCTACGGGGGGTATATACTACTATATATGTAACCAAGAAGCCTTACGGCATCATATTACAGGACCAGGAAGATACCCAGTCTTCAACACACCCTCCAAAACTCTCAAACTCCACATCTGAAAACCCCGAACCTGGTCCTGGACGGTTACCCCGCCCTATAATTGGACAAGCTTTTATAAGGGCCGGGCTCTATGACGAGTGGGTAATGGCGGGGTCGAGCAGGTCGGGCTTTGCGGCTTTAAAGCTGATTGGCGGGGTATGGGACTTTCCGAAAATAGGGGACCCTAATATAATACCCTAAATAGTAGGATCCTTATTATAAGGACCCCAAAATAAGGTACCCCCTATTTTTGGAAACTCCCATATAGTGTCGTAGAAGAATTTGGGGTCTACACTGACTGGGAAAACTGTATGAGACATTGCGCCCTAACGGACACAAAGAAGTCCTGACTGCTCTGGTGGAGTGGCTGAAATACGGTTGACGATATAAATCCTGCATTACCTTAAGGACCCTAAACTATGGGAGTTATGGTATATGCCTTATTATGGGTAATGCAGGATTTATATCATCAACCGTAGCTGGGGACCGTCATGTGGTCAGGTGAAGGGGTATTTTGCTCGATCGTATATCGTTTTCTTGAAGCAGTCGAAAACCTAAACCCGAAATCGCTCGGGATGGATCCTACTAGTCAGGATGTTGCTTTGGGGCTGTTGCGGTGGAAGTATATAGGGACGTGTGACTAGAACGGGATAGCACTTCAAAAAAACTTAACCATTATTAAACCATTCTGAATTACTAAGGTTGTTAGACTTAATGAGGATTGTAAGGGCTACATATGCCATTCTTGCAGAACCATGGTGCTTCCAACATTAGACAATATTCTGAAAATCACCCCAAGCCACAGCCGCTGATCCCTGTCGGCGTCGTACACCATGAAAAGCAGCCGAAGCTTCTGATCTGGCCTGCCAGCTCGCTTTAGAGACCCTAAACCCTAAACTTGACGGTTTTAAGGTGTAGGCGCAAGGAACCCCAAGGACCCAAACTCTCTAAAACCTGAAATGGCGGGGCGAGGAAGCAACGCGCATGAGAAGGGGTCTGCATCTAAGGTCTAAGGCGCTACCACTTTCCTACAAGTTTCGCATAAGATCTGCTATATACAATACGGCGAAGATGGCAGGGTGTATGGTTGGGTTTAGAGTTTAGGGTTTTATAAGCTTTAGGACTTGTAGTTTCTGGTTTGGGTTCAGGGCTGGAACTGCTTTTTGGGGTAGGCTTCCTGCTTTTTTTGGGCAACTGGGTTTCCTCTAATCTATTCGGCGCGACAGATCCCGTAGTACCCTCATACTCAACACCCTGAGCCTCGGTCTATAGTTTTCTATATGCACTAATCAGTGTGTATATATATATATATATATATGTTTGTATTTCGATGTGTATATATATAATTAATTGTATGTGTGAATATATATATATATATGTGTGTATGTGTATATATATATATATATATATATATATATATATATATTAATATAGATATTGATTAATTATCCATCTGTATATATATATATATTTACAAGTTCCTCTTTTCATCTTCCAATATTGATGAAGCCTCGAAGTGTTGTTGAATACTTCAGGGTCTCTCATTCGCGGGTACTGGACTTACGATCAGGCAACGATACTTGTTTGTTGAGTTGCTATACTATGGAAGCACAACTACATGTGTATGTAAACGCATGTGTGTGTAGGTGTGTGTGTATATATATATACATAAGAGTTCATGCGTGTGAATTTTGTATGGAAGTTCATATTGTTTCGCGGGTTCGGTTCACATAGAAGGATAGCTCAACGTGTAAGATTCTACAGTATTCCCACGGTTTTTCATGCTCCCTTCTACACAACCCGGACTAGGGCCAAGAAGTTTTGATGCAGTCCTTTTGTCGCGGCCGTGCTACACCGAGTTGACACAAGCCGGGGGCCACTCGTTGAGTCTTACCCATAGTCTCCATTGTAGTTCCTTAATCTTGGTTTAGCCAAATATACAATTAGGATCCTATAAAGTAACCCCACAAAGGAACTACAATGGAGACTCTAGTTGGGGTTAAGCCATATACCTATACCCCAAAGAGTACACCGTTCAAGCTTTGCTCGTCCGCCTTCCCTGTTCTATCTGCCCAACCCCGGTCTTAAACTGTCTGGTGCTAAGTAGGGAATGGATTATGGAAACTATTTTGGCAGATTATATGGCGTTACTATGGGCTTGGGCTTAGGGTTATAGGGATCCATGCCCCGGCTCCCTACTAACTGCCAGGGGGTACATGGCAAACCGAGCGATTAAAAAAAACAAAAAAAGCTGCTGGGGAGACAATGTTCCTGGAGAGCTTAGTTTAGGGCTTACCTGGACCCTAAAGAGCCGACAGCTTACCTTTTAAAGGGCCTATTTAAGGAAACCATAATAAGGAACCCCCAATAAGGAACCCCCAAAACCGGGGTTTTTTAGGGTCCCGGTTGGGTTCAGGGCGCACAGTTTAGGTTTAGGATGTAGGGTTCAAGGCTTAGGCTAGGTTTCGGGTTACACCCAACAGCCCAACTAGGAGCAAACCCTAATGCTTGCGAAAACCGAATCTGCATTCTCCAAGATTGCAACCCAAAACCTGTCTGAATGTTCCGTGTATCACCGCCTCCCTCGACAAAGGATAGCGACACCACATATAAACCTGAGCGGCTTTGACTTTAGAGCTTTCGGATGAAGGGTCTACTGGTTCAGTGTGCTTGCAAGCCCTTTCTTCCGATGGTCATCCTGCTGACTCCATGCGCAGAAGACTCCTCAACCCTAAACCCAAAACCCCCTAAACCCCCTAAACCCCCTAAACCCCTAAACCCTAAACCCTAAACCCAAAACCCAAAACCCTAAACCCCCAAAACCCGTAAACCCTAAACCCTCAACCCTAAACCCCAAAACCGTAAACCCCCCAAAACCCCTAGACCCAATATGGAGGGCAAGACCCGACAGGCTGGAAGTTATGGGGGAAGACTATTCACCAGCCTCTGGGACGAGACCCACGGCTTTTTGGTTTAGGGCTTAGTCGTGTTATCTTAATGACGACTATGTGCTTAGTCTGAGTGTGTGCTTGTGCCCTAAATGCTACAGCCAAGTTTAAAGGAACGGGCTGCTGTGGTTCTATACTATAGGAGCCTGAATAATTCTGACCGGGCTTTGCATTATACATTATAACTACAATAAGAAACCCCCAAAAATAGTTTAGGTAATCATTTCGGCCCCTATTTTAAACCCTACAGCAAAGTTTAACAGAACAGGCTGTTGTGGTTCTAAAACCAGGTCTGGGATCATGAACCAGAAAAACTTGAAGCCCAAAAGTGGAAGGTGATTGTAGGGGCCTCATTGAATAGATAGGACAGGGTTTGGGGGTATATTCCGTATACTTATATGGGGACGATACGGGCATCAACACAGCATACTGATACCGGACTACAAACGGATACGACTACTATTACCAAAAGATCTCAAGGCTGGAAGTTTTCCCCGAAGCCGTAAGCTTAAGGCTTAGGCCGCCCACCTGCGTGGGTGGGCGGCACTTGAGCCCCTCGACCTCTATGGTGCAGTGCGGCCCAGTACGCCTGCCCGCGTCTCCACAGCCATGGGGACGGCAGCACCGCTTTTCGGAACCAGTTCTGGTCCCTATCAAAGGTTCATACCCCAAACCCCAAGCCCTTCATTTTGGGGGTGGTCGGCCATTTTGGGCCTGGCGCCTCCAACGAGCAGAATTCAAGGACCTAGGGGCCGTAGAAGGGTGCCTGTTGGTTGTTTTTTGTGCCCAACTTTCGGGGCTAACCCCAAACCCCAAACCCTAAACCCTTAAGAGGACTCAGAGGGCACTCCCAACTCCCTTCTGGCCGCCCCTACCCTGCTCTGCCCTTCCCTTTCCTTTCTGCCCTGTTCTGCCCTGCCCTCTACCCTGCCTGCCCTACCCTGCTCTGCCCTGCTTGCTGCATCAAGACGCTTCAAGAACTAGAGAAAACCTTAGAATGAGTTTAGGTGCTAAGCCCTGAAAACAATAGGTTTGGGTGGTTTAGCCGCCTCAGACGGCGTGGGCTGGGACGAAGTTACACTCTCGCAAGATACTTCCGCTTATACACGACTCTGCGGCAAACCCTAAACCCTATAAACCCTACACCCTATAAGCCCTAAACCGTATAAACCCTATAAACCCTCTACTATAAACACTAAACCCTATAAGCCCTATACACCCTAAACTGTAAACCCTAAACTCAAAGCTGGAAGTTCTCGACTCTCGCCGAGAAGCTGCTGCACGGTCAGGGTGCCCGTGGAGTCCGAGTCGAAACATTGGAACAATGCCTTTTTGGGGTTTAGGGTTTGGGGCTTATAATTTTGGGGTATAGGGTTTAGGGTTTACAGGCTTTATAGGGTTTAGGATTTATAGGGTTAAGGGTCTAGGGTTTATAGTGTTTTGGGTTAGGGTTTAAGGTTTTGAGTTTACGGCTTAGGGCTTAGGGTTTAAATTTAGTGGTTAGGTTTAGGGTTTAGGTCTTAGGGCTTACAGGGTTTATAGGGTTTAGAGTTTAGGCTTTAGGGTTTGGGGTTCAGGGTGTACTACTTTCGACATCGGTGCTTTGACTTTCGGGATGTTTGGGGTGAAGAGTCTGCATGGAGGCTAGGCCTTAATTCGCATGCGGCCAGAGGAGATTGCTTAAGATCGCATATTGACGGCCATGCTCCGAAACGGTCAGACCTCTTAGCCATCCTACTTCAGTGATTGTTCATTTGAGGTGGGCTGGTGTCTAACGTCTTACATTCCACTTAACGGAATACACTGACGCAGCGAAGCAACCCTGACCCCATAAGCGTCAAACTTGAAACCCTAAATCCTTAAACCCTCAAGCCCTTAACCTACTTGTCGGGTATCATGGGGAACTAAAGGTTAACCTTTTTGGTTATACAGGGATTATATAGGGACTATACTACCCCAAAAAGGCTAAAGGTTGCCTACTCTCTACTAGGTTACCCTAAACCACTAAGGACCTTGGACCCTGAATGGTTTGTAAATTAGAAACCCGTAAGTACGGAACCAACACCCAAAGCCCTGAACTACTCCAAAGTCTGCACAGCATAGCTCACTTGAAAGAAGGGTTTAGGTCTAGGGTATACGGTCTAGGGTTTCAGACATACGGCCCCAACATGCAAACCTCGAACTACTACTTCAGGTGCTCCGGACCCTTACCCTAAGGCTCCAAGTAGCCCAGAAGCCCCGCATAGGCGGACCCCTTGGCCCAATAAGAATCCCGAAACCCTAAACCCGAAAATCCCTGGAACTGAATCCTTTGAGACTTGGGCTTCGGAGGAAACACGCAAAGAACTGTTCGACCCAAGAACCCCAACACCCTTAGTACAGACCCCTAAACCATAACCAAACCCTTACACCACGAGCTCTGAGCCCTAAGAGCACTAGTAAGTGATAGATAGAACAAGGCTTTAACAAAATACTTTGTGCGAGGAGCAGTGCTGATCATTACGCCCCCCCCGTACTTCGGAATCCACACCGCCCCAACATGCCCCAACACACTACCCAGACCTTCCAAAATCCCTTAATTAAGGAAGATACCTTAAACTATAATAGGATCCCTAATATGATTTAAGGCATATTCCTTAATTAAAGGATTTTGGAAGGTCTGGGCACTACTTACCACTCCTCTGCAAGTGCATCCGGCACCGGGTCGCCAGCACCCGAGTTCCTCAGCGCAGGCATTGCAGCAAACGGCAGTTTAGGGTTTAGGGTTTAGGGGTTTAGGGGTTTAGGGTTTAGGGTTGGGGCTTGAGGACAAGTTTACAGGGTTTTGGTTTGGGGGTTCGAAGTTTAGACAGTGTAGGATTTGGGCTTTCGGCGGCTTGCTGCAGGGCTTTGTAAGGGTCTCACTGCGAGTTCAGTTTATGAGCCTCTCGAATGCTCGCAGCGTAGGGTTTCTTGCGCGGATATGAGGAGTTTACCAGCTGATCGAATCACCATGTGTCAAATCAAACGCCGAAACAGGCATGGGGTGGAGTGGCGCGAATGAGCGCTCGATATTTTGTGTGTGTATATACATATTACATGTATGTATGTATGTGTATATATATATATATATATATATATATGTATGCGTGTATGCATGTATGTATGCAGGAACATACACGATGGACCTCTATTAAGCTCCTGTCTAACATTTTTGTCTCTCTCTATCTCTCTCTCTCTCTCTCTCTCTCTCTCTCTCTCACTCTGTGTTAATCTCTCTCCCTCTCTCTCTGTCTCGCTCTCTCAGTCTGTTGCTGTCGATCTAGCTGCCTATGTGTACAGGTACACCTATAAATATACACATTACGTATGTACCTGGGTATGTATTGACGTAACTGTATGCATCAACTGTTTATTGAACTGCTTGCTTATTCATGTGCTCACTTGCTATTTCGATCACCAAACCAATGCAGTCGACCATTCAGGTCAAGGTTATGTTCATTTCATCTCTGGCATTTAACGTCATTTCATTTCGCTGTCATGCAGGCATTTATTCATTACTACTTGTAGGTAGCACCCAGACACTCGTATACGGTACCTGTGCTCGTAGGGTGTGAAACAAGGCAGAAGCCGGCTTGAACAAACGGAGTGTGCAGCAACTCCCCCAATCCGTAATGACTGAATCGAATCGACGGGACATCCTGAAACCTGGACCCCGAAGCCCTAAACCCTAAACTCGAAAGTCAGAAATCCTAAATCCCTAAATACCCCAAGCCCCAGAAATCAGAAGCCCTGATGTTGAGCCGGGCCACAAGAAACCGGCGCGAAACTCTGCCGGTCTAAGCCTTACTTTGATGCATTTCTCTTTCCCCTTAAAGGGTCCAAAGTACCGATATAGGAGAATGTAGGGTTTCTATATCAGGAATTACTATGATGGTTTGGGTTTGGGGAAGTATTCCCCATAACAGTACATAGGACCCTTTGGGTTCCGCAAGGTGTATGTAGGCTGCCCAGGGTCTAGGATGAGTTTGCAATATTCAAAGAAGGGGTGCAGGGTTTGGTTTATATGGGAGTTCGGTTTTTGGGGTTTAGGGGCTTAGTATGGTTGAATTAAAAAGATCACGGGACTTAGCAACGAAGGCTCGCCAGTGTGCCATAGGTTGAGGATCCTTCTATTCGAGTCTTCCAGCTTCTGCCGGTTTAGTTTAGGGCTGAAGGTCTACGTATTCTATATCCATAGGGCTGCAGGGATCCGGGCTTTAGGGCCCCAAGGTTTGGGGTTTTAGGGCCTCAGGGTTTGGAAACTTTAAGCTAAGAGTTTAGGGGTTTTAGGGTTAAGGTACACGGAGCAACCTAAAACAGTCAGTTTGCAGAGTTCTATCCCTGGAACAAATTGTTCAGCACCATCGAGGTTTCCCAAGGTAGGGCTGGTGTGAGGGCTCTTTGGGTCGGGTGTGAGGCCGCGGGACGGTTGGGCATGCTGGCTCAGCAACGTCAGCTAAGAAGAGCTAAGAACCCTGAACGCTAAAACGTACTTGATCTTCAGGCCCCTACCCTACTCTAAAGTAGTTCCTTTTTGGGTTTCATATTTAGACTCCTATAAGGTAATCCCAAAAGGAACTACTAAGGAGCCTATGGGTAAGCCATATGAACCCAAAGCCGGAGGGCCGGAGGGGGGTTCAAAATGCTGCAGCCCCGACCTGGAGCGCCTTAGGATCGCAATTGATCGATGGAACTTTTTTGTTGAGAATGCCCTGGTCGCGGTGCCCCAAGCTTCCAGTGCAGCATGACCAAAGTTGCTGCACGCGCATGTCAGACACAATCTAGAGATGCATGTATGTATGTATGCATGCATGCCTGCATGTACGTATAGTACATCATAGAGAGAGAGAGAGAGAGAGAGAGAGGTCGTGCACGAAAAGCGCTGAACAAAAGCACCTGAACCCCAAGACGAGATCCTCAAGCCTAAACCCTTCGGGGGTTCAGGAACTGCACACCCTTTATAGTACCCTTATGGTACCCTTGTGCTACCCTTAAGGGTTTTTGGGCCCAGTATGCTATACTTGTTATAATATGCAGCCCCCAAAATAGTGTATATACGTAATTAATATAAGGCCCCTGTAATACAGAGTTCTCCAGTGCTGGGGGAATCACTCCCCTCGCACGGAGAGGCGGTGGAAGCCTTCCTCGATTCGGGCCACTTCCTGGCAAAGAGCTGCGGCTCGGGGCGGCTTGGGTACTTGGGGCTTGGGTTAGGGTTTACGGGGGCTTTTCAAAGGGGCGCTTGATATAGAAGATTGAATAAATTTAGTAATGCATACTATTCATTAGGAGTTTTGTTATGGTACAGGGTGTGGGGTTCCGGTTTAGGGTGTAGAGTTTTTGGTCTAGAGGCTAGGGTTTGGGGGGTTAGGGCTTATGGGCGAAGGCTTACGACCGGAAAAGAACCAACACAAGGTTTCGGAGTGTACACACAAGAGGGTGTGGTTGTATAGCACAAGAAGTATTCTGGAAACGCAGGGCGGGATGCAGCAAACCGTGTACCCTAGACTCTCACACTGAACACCTAAACCCGAAACCGCGAAACTCCAAAACCACATCCACACAACATAATATGATTTGCTTCACTAAAACCACTCAATAAACCCGAAAGCACGAACCTCCAAAACCACAACCACACAACATAATATGACTTGATTCCCAAACTCTCTAAAACCCACCATCTCCAAAACACCCTAAACTCGCCAAGCCCAAACCCATTTGCTATGGGTCTTTCCACATCTGCACCCCCCTTGCCCGATGATCCCAAACACAAACAACACAACAAAAAACCGTGAAAAAGGGGTACTACTGAAACAGGTCAGGACACTCCTGGCTCCAAGTTTGGGCTCTTTACATGGGGGGTTTCCGAAAATAGGGGACCCTAATATAGTACCCTAAATAGAAGGATCCTTATTATAAGGACCCCAAATAAGGTACCGCTAATTTTCGGAAACCCTGGACCCTAAAGCTTAAATCCTATAGATCCCTTGTAGGAACCCTTATAGATCCCGTTAAAGGAGGCCCTAATTTTCGGAAACTCCCACATGGATCCCATGACTGTGAGGATGGCCAACGGGGGGGGCTTTGGTTATGTGCTTCAATTCCAACAGTAGGAGCTGAGGTTCGCGTTCGCAGGTTTAGGGTGTGGGTTTAGGGTTTATAGGATTTCGGGTGTAGATTTTAGGGTTTGGGGTTTAGGGTGTAGGTTTAGGGTTTAAGATTTGGGGAGTAGGCTTGCGGGTTTGGGGGGTTTAGGGTGTAGGTTTAGGGTTTAGGGTGGAGGGTTAGGGTTTAGGAGGCCTCCGCACCAAGTCCACCCGATCCTCAGCCCTCGTCTGACCCAAAAACCCAGCCCCTAAAGACCGAGGCCAAGACACTTTTTGAACCCTAAACTACTATTTGCTTAAGAACCCCCAAAAAATAAAAAATATATTCCTTATTGGGGTAATATAGGGATTATTATCTTTATTTTTTGGGGGTTTCTTAAGCAAATAGTAGTAAACTGTATAGCCTCCTCCCTGAACCCCGAAGGCCCTAAGGCGCAAGCCGAAGCCTCTCCAAATCAAAGTCAGACTTACGGTAGCCTCCTTAGTCAGCTCTTTGAGTCACCTAGGGTTTAGGGTTTAGGGTTTAGGGTTTAGGGTTTAGGGTTTAGGGATTATCACCCTTAGAGTCAAGTTTCCGTCTCCATCGTAGCTCGTTATAGTTGCAATCCTATAATCTACACTCGGTAAACAAAAGAGGCACAACAACGGAGACGTTAAGTAAGTCCTAAACCCTAAACTAGGTTGGCCCTTTACAGCCTCCGACAAATATTCGCAGTTACGATTCTCTGTCCCGAAGACCTATCCCCCAAGGGTCCAGAGGACCCAATAATTCGGTACGGGGATCTAGCAGTAGCAAACACAGTCAACTTTTTTGCTGGTGTTGTCGAGGCTGCCCACTGAGGGAGCGATTTTGCGGTCTGCCAGAATCGCGATCAACATCGCTTCCCCATGGATCCCAAGTACTCTAGGGCCTTCTCAATGAATGGAGTTTTGTGTTGTTTTTGGGTGCCTATGACGATCACAGGAAGGGCTACGGCTACCAATCTGGACTAGTATAGCGGCCTGCTTGATTGGAATAGGCTTTTGGGGGATCTTGAACCATAGCATGTATACACTGCGCCCAAAATTCCCTATTGAATATTATATTCTCTGACCCTAACGTATCTGTACAGGAGCCCCTGTCCAACGAAAGTATACTACCATTTGCTTAAGAAACCCCCAAAAAATAAAAATAATAATCCCTATATTACCCCCATAAGGAATATATCTTTTATTTTTTGGGGGTTCTTAAGCAAATAGTAGTATATCTGTGTGCACACGGATCCTCAGGGGCTCTCCGGCTGTCTGACCGCTCCGCGGTCGGGACACGCAATTGTTAAAGGGGGAGAACTTGCCCTGCAAGGACTCACCCAAAGGGTCCTACGTACTGTTGTGGAGGATACTTCCTTAAGTCATAATAATCATTCCAAAACCAGAAACCCTACCTTCTACTATAAAGCTACTTTGGACCCTTTGGGTCACCGTAGGATCCCAGTTTACTTACCCACTGGGCTCCTAGGGACAGAGTGGGAGCAGTTCCCAGAGGATTCTCAGTACCTATATTGGAGAATTTTTGCCGAAACCATACTGGTAGTTCCTACTGTAGAAACTTTACTTTTTCTACCGTATATATATATATATATATATATATATATATATATATATGTACATACATGTATATACACCATATATATATATATATATATATATATATATATATATATGGTGTATATATAAAAAGGTGCTGAGAACCCAATGGGCCTGGCTCCATAACATGGTAAAAACCTGCTTGTTCTGCGGCTTAAAATCTTCGTTGAGCCGGCGAAGAGCTACATAAAGAGACATTCGAGGCACGGACATGATCTTCCAACCACTCCAGGTCTTCTCCTGCTAGCCACCTGACATAGGGCTTGCTTTTGCTATCGTGTTTCTAGAATACGGCTTTCGAGTGTTGCCGTAGTGGTGCTATAACAAGGCTTCTATCAAGAAAACATCCTTAGCGCTTTATGCCATGCTGTGTTTAACAAGGATTCTGTAGTCTTCATGGTCTCATACTTTGAGGATCATGGGACTTAGTAAGTAAGGTTATAAGTACCTTACTTGGGGTTACAAGTATAGTTACCTTACTTATAACCCTATAGTTACTAAGTCCCATGATCCTTTAAGTAGACCCTAAATCCCCTCTTATACTACAACCCCTATAGATCCCTTTAAAGGAGCCCTTTAAGGAACCCTAGTTACTAAGTCCCATGATCCTTTAAGTAGGGCACTGTAAAGGGGGCTAGTTAGGCCTCAGGTGTCCGCCCTCCCCGCAATATGGGAGTTTTCGAAAATGGGGGTACCCTATTTTGGGGTCCTTATAATAAGAGTCCTATTGTTTAGGGTGCTATTTTAGGGTCCCCAATTTTCGGAAACCCCCATATCGACCTGATATGAATCCACAACCCTTCTCTGACCTGCTATCAATCCTAAACCCTAAATCCACGAATTCCAAAGCCCCATATCAACTCTGGAGCCCTCACCCAAAACTTCACCTCCCTCTGGTTTGCGAAGAGCTCCGGGTGCTCCACGCTGAGGCGTTGATAGTTAGCTGGACTGGAGAGTTGCAGCTCCTCGGCTCGATCAAGGGATCTATTCCCAAAGGGTCCCATGTACTGTTATGGGGGATACTTCCCTGAGTCATAATAATAATTCCTAATATAGAAACCCTACATTCTACTATATCGGTACTAACCCTAAACCCTACATTCTACTATAAAGACTATAAAGGTACTTTGGACCCTTTGGGGGTGGCTTAGGGGTCATGAGGGGCATCTTGCTGTACCCACATGTGTGCATACCAGTTCTCCGTTTCAGGTACGTATCAGTGATAAGTATTACTCTCAGTGATGTGATCTACATGTTCGTGGCTGCTGTTCTTGCGCAGCCTAAACCCCTAAACCCTAAGTGAAGTTCCCAGGACCCCCCCCCCCCCCAAGTACCCTTTAGTAGAGCCCTTATGGCCCTGAATAGTGGGCATCTGAGGTATAACAGAGGGTAGTTGGGGTGTCTAGGTCCTTACCCAAAGGGTCCTATGTACTGTTATGGGGGATACTTCCCTAAGTCATAGTAGTAATTCCTAATATGGAAACCCTGCATTCTACTATAAAGGTACTTTGGACCCTTTGGGTTACAAGAGCCCAGGTGTCAGCCAGCAGCTGAGGCCGCTGTTGAGCGGGGGCTGCGATGATGTAGGGGTAGTCGTCATCGCCCAGATCCTCGTCTCGTGTTTCGGCTTTGAACAGCTAATTTTTCATGATATTCGATGTGTTCTATATTTTAAGGCTTAAGGTTTATGGCTTAAGGTTTGGGGTTCAAGGTTTAGGGCTTTGGTTGAGGTTTAGAGCTTGGGGAGGCAACCAATGTCGTTGGTATTCCTTCTTGAGAAATATGCCTGTCGACAGACAAAAGTGTTTCCGAGAAGGGCCCATGATCTATCTCCCCAAAGACATCATGGTTGGGCGACTCGTCCACAAGGTTGCGCATGCAGTCATGCACACCTGGGTTGTAGTTTCGGGGCTCTTAAAAAATATAAAAGGTTACCTCTAAAAGGTTACCTCTATAGGAATCATAAGGGAAATTAAAAAGTTGCCCAAAATGCCACCTAGACACCAATGGGCATGCCAGAGGGAAGGATCTGAACACGACCGTCCTGTCCAAGGGTAAAAGGAGGGACCCTTACTAGGTATATACCCTGAAAAGCGCTATTATATACCTATTATATAACCCATCAAAGGGTAGGGGTCCCCATTAAGGGTCCAAAGTACCTTTATAGTAGAATGTAGGGTTTCTATATTAGGAATGACTATTATGACTTAGGGAAGTATCCCCTGTAACAGTACATAGGACCCTTTGAGTCCTGTATGGCAGGTGACCTTTGATCAAAGCCTCCCCCTTCACGAACCCAAAGGCCCATCTTCTTGAAATCCCCCACGCCCTTGTTGCGGATCTGGTCGAAGGTCCTATACTGAACTTAGAACCCCAGCAACAACTATAACCTTAGCTGTTTCTTAGGGATTATAATAACCAAAAACTAAAAAAATCAAAGCTAAACCCTAAACCCTAAGCCCCTAAAGTAAAAGCCAGAAAGTTGGAATATGATTATCCTAAACCCTTTATGGTAAATTATAGGGTATCCTACCCTGAAACCATATTCCAACTTTCTGGAGTTCCCTTTAAGGGTCCAGGTCTTCCAGCAACCCTCGTAGAACTTCGGAGTTCTCTGTGCCAATCGCCAGGCCGTCTGTGCCTTCTGCCAGCCGACAAAGGCTACCTTCAGCTCATCACCTTACGGGCTGAGTACCCTAGCTCCAAAAAGGATAACCGTTTCAATGATTGTAGGGTTCTACAAACCCCAAAATGTTAAAGGATACCTACTCGGCCACTCAGTCACAAAAGAGGAGGTTGTGCCACTGACGTTCCTGCATGAAGACATTCTCCCGGCAGCGAGAGCCACCGTTGTCCAAGGAAAAGATATGACCGACCTCTGCATCGGCATAGACGTTGGCATCAAGTTTAGCACGGATCCTCTGTTGGAACTTTTCGTCATCCTCGTCCTCGGTTGTCAAGGAGCTTAGGTTTGCTACCATAATGGGGTCCTATAGCAAGTAATTATTATGGTCACTTAAACCGTACAAACTCCCTACCAAGAATAGGGTTTCCCATCAGGGTGGCTTCCTGACTATGGTATCTTGAAATCAATAGACTTCTTCTTACCTTCGGTTAGTAGGGAATGGAAGAATGGTAGTAATAGCAGTAGTAGTAGTAGTAGTAGTAGTAGTAGTAGTAGTAGTAGTAGTAGTAGTAGTAGTAGTAGTAGTAGTAGTCGTAGTAGTAGTAGTAGTAGTAGTAGTAGTAGATATAATTGTACCCCATTCCTCCATTCCCGACTAACCAAAGGTAAGTCTTAACAAGATCTCAGCATCGGAGAAGGTGTCAGGGACGTTCCGGCCAAAGACTTGTTGGGGGAAAGCAAAGGCGAGCTGGCGATCCATTGCGACGGCGGTTCGCAACAGTGCTCCGTTTAAAGGATTCGTCTAAACGGGGTCTATAAGGGTTGCTATAAGAAAAACTGTAGCGGTCACCATATCATTAGGGTTTTATGACAACCAGGGGGCTTAACTAATTATTGGTATAGGGCCCCTTTCATTCAAGGGTCTCGCTTCAAGGGGTGTATAGGGGTTACTAGACGGGCTACTACAAGAGTTTGGTATATGGGCCAGAATAACTACAACAGGGTTTCGGTGCAGATACTTGTTCTGAAATATGGGCACTGTGGCACCACCAATTTTGGGGACCTCCATATCAGAATAGCGCTCTTCTTGGATTCCTCCCAGTACATTGACATGTTACTGGCAACCTGACCATCGGTACTGATCGGTCATGGTCCTTGGCCTGCTTTGACTAGTGGAACTGTTGCAATCTAGCGGAGCAAACCAAAATAAGAGGCCAAGATGCAGAATGCACTGTCCCGCCCGGAGACGAATGTCAGATTTCTCTCGCAACTTTGTAAGAGGGAAGCAAAACCCTAAAAACCTAAACCCCTAAACCCTAAAGAATGAAGGTGAACTGCCGGAACCCTAAGCCGAAACTCTATGAGTTCAACAGACCATGCAGGTCCGGCAAAAGCTCTGAGCCGCGGCCGTCCGAGACACGGGGATCGGGCTTCAGTTTGTGAGTTTGGGGTACATACTACAAAAAATGCAACAACATAATATAATGGACTAGAACATGCCATAATATACTGTAAGGTGTACGGTAGGGTGCCGGGCGTAGTTGAGGCCTCAAGGCTGACAGAAATGCTTCGGATTTCGCGCTTGGTTGCTGGGTTTTCTCAAGTGCTTAGGGTTTCGCGTTTAGGGTTTACTCATAGGCTCCATAGTACTTCCTTTTTGGGGTTCATATTTAGAATCCTATAAGGTAATCCCAAAAAGGAACTACTATGGAGCCTATGAGTAGGCTTAATGCTCAGGGCTCAGTTAGGATTTAGGGTCGCAGCTCCAGCTTGCCTTTTGAAGATGTCGCTGCTATGGGGTTACTTAGAGGATCATGGGACTTAGTAAGTAGGGTTCCTGAAAGGGCTCCTTTAAAGGGATCTATAGAGGTTCTAGTATAAGAGGGGATTTAGGGTCTACTTAGAGGATCATGGGACTTAGTAAGTAGGTTATAACTGGGGTTATAAGTCCCCTAAGTGGGGTTATCCTAATTATAACCTACTTATAACCTTACTTACTAAGTCCCATGAGCCTTTAAGTAGCTTTTGGAAAGCTTGTGCTGGATTTCCGGCCGGCCTCGGTGCCAAGCAGCTGGACCTGACTTATAGGATCCTTAAGGGAGGGTGGTTCAAGGCGGGAGGGTATAAGGAATCCTTAGGGGACTGTAAGGGAACCTTAGGGAGTACTAGGGAGAATTAGGGATCACTAGGCTATATACCCCCTTGGACCCCCCTCCCTTAAGGATACTACAACTGACTGCGAAGTGAATCAGTGAACATTGCACGCAGGTGAGTAAAAGTTTGTTTAAGGCATTTACGGTGGCATGTGGGGGGGGGGGGGGTGTAGTGCTACAGGGTTCAGTATGCACTTCTGCAAAAAGCCTAGAGATTCCTTATAGGAACCCTTAACAAAAACCCTTATAGATCCCTTTATTCAAAAGAGCCCCCAATTTTCAGAAACCCCAAACCCTAAACCACTTTATAAAGGTTTACCCAAAGGGTCCAAAGTACCTTTATAACAGAATGTAGGGTTTCTATATTAGGAATTACGATTATGACTCGGAGAGATCCTCAGAGCCATAACGTTGGGCTCTTGCTAAGGAGCCTAAAACGCCCGCACCAGCCAGCGCCCTCAGGATGACTACAGCATTGACCGCATTCCTGCCGCAATACTGTGTGTCCAAAGGTGTGGCCTGCCCGGAGAAACTCTTGATCATCCTGATCATCTCATCGTTGAGAGGCATCAGTGGTGGCGGGTCAACTGTGCCATGGGCAATCTGCCCATTCAATACTGCACTCCGAAGACCACCATGAGGGGCCGGTGTCTCCACGGCCTCCTCGAACTTAGCCCAGTGCTGACAGAGGTCCCGGCGCAGCGATGAGTAGGCACCATCGCAACACTCCATGAATCGGTCAATGGCCTCCTGGTCAACAGACACCCACGAGCCTTGCGAAGTGGAAGGAGGTTCCTCCAGAGCCGTGTGAAAGCCCGTAGCGGCCGCACTGCATTCAGCGGTGGAGCGGGCATAGGTGGCGGGCTTGCGTTGCCCAAGCCCGCTCATGATAGTACCAGACTGGTGTGGTATATATATATATATACATATCTACACACACGTAGACTTTATGTTTGCGTATACGTAATGCAAATTTGTGTAGAGAGATATACATCTGCGCACATAAAGATCAAAATCATGGCTGCTATTGCGATGATCAGGGTCATTGTTGTTGACGTTAACAAAACTGGTCCTGCTAATATTGTTATGATGACTACTATTTTTGATGCTGATACTCTTACTAATATGACGGTCATTTCAAGCATAAAAATATTTACAACTAACCAACAAATAAGTATATAAATGGCCAGCCAAATGCAACTGTATATATATATATATATAGAGATACACATACACACATACCTCCGTGACCACATACATACATACATCCATACATGCAAACAAACATACATACATTGACACATTGACACTAATACAAACATATACATAGATGCATACGTACATACACACGCATACATACATGCATACATACATACATACATGCGTACAAACATGCATGCATGCATACATACCTACGCATGTGGTACACACATACATTCATACTTACATACATGGCTACATGAATACATACATACGTACATACATACATACAACAAATAAACCTATACTGCATAGGTAAGTGTGTGCATGGCCATTAAACTAAACGTTTACGCTTTCCAACGAAAACAAAAACCTCAGCAGCAAAATCAGTTCACCGCGCGCTGGCATACTTAATTACCTTCGAGTTCAGCACACTCTTAACAAAGACCACGGTGCCGGCCAAATGCGAGAGCCCCTTGACAGAAGCACATCTGAAAGGATGCCGCAAAGCAGATTGCCCTTCCGAAGCCCAAGCTGAGATCACGGAACCATCCTAAGCCCATCAACTCACAAAAAAACCTCAAGGAACCCGTCAGACCCCTAAACCCTAAACACATCAACCTAGCATCGTATTCAAGTTCCTCAATCCCTAAACCCGAGGCCTATAAATCTTAGCCCGAAATCCCAAACGGCCCAAACCCCTAGTCCTGCCCGCTCTGCTCTAGGGGCGCTGCGGCTTCCTCATAGTCTAAGAGTTGCCTCGAGCCGCCCGCACCCATGGCTGCACTGGAACCATGGGTGTTGAAGTGAGATTTTCTGGGTTGGCCTTTAAACACCCTGAAAAATATTTATATATACGGCCCCTTATAAACACAAATAAGGAAAATAAAAGCCAGAAAGTTGGAATATGATTATCCTAACCCTTCTATGGTAAATTTGGTATCCTACCATGAAACCATATTCCAACTTTCTGGAGTTCCCTGTAGGAGGGGACCTTCAGTCACGGTGGGTTACACAGTGGGATATGGCTATTGGGACAGGGTAGTTGCCTTAAATCATAATGGCTTCTTCGGATCGGGGAAGTGGGACAGTCACCTGATACTTCTGGCAACCGTAAGGATGTGAGTTGATGGTTGGGGTTCTCGACTTGGCTAGGGATGCGACTTCTTTAATTAGCCCACTCATCTTTTTTTTGTGGGTAGCTAGGCTATGGATTCATGGGGACAGGAAGTGGGCTTGTGGGGCATGATATCCCCCTGGAGCCTCTGAACGCGGAAGAAGACGCATGTACGATTTGACAGCCTTACATAATCAAACCGGAAACACTGCAATCCTAAAGCCTTGCATCCAAACCCTGAGTGGAAATCCTAAAGCCCAATTTACTCTTTTTAACGGAGCCCTTGAAGGAGCCCTTAAAGGAACCCTGACCAGACACTTCATGTCCCTATCCTTTGCTGAGGGTATGAAAGGGCAATAGGCTGTTGGCATTTAAAGCTAGTAGTTGTCAGAGCTTCACGTTTTAGGGTTTTGCTGATCTTTAAATACACGGCTTGCTTCAAGAGGTTTAGGAGATATTGACCGGAGTTGGCGTGGCTTGTCCTAGTTTATGCGATGGCACCATTCAATCGCTTGCGGCCTTCGACACTGCTTAGGACCAGTTCCGTTTTATGTAAGCCCCACGGAAGCTAAAGCTGGCGAGTGAAGAGCTCAACAACGCGGCAGGAAGCCGAAAGCGTTCGGGCAGGAACATGGGAATCAAGAACGGACCTTATAGTGCTTTGAATAAGGTTATGGGGCAACGAGACGCTATTCGTGAATGTTTCGGCATTCGTATTGCCGACTCAGAAGCCCCTACTCTCTCAGGTCACTTCAAAAAACAAACGCATAGCTGAAGCGCTAACTGTCGACACCTCTTTAAATCGGTTCAGGTTCTGAGGTCTAGGGTTCTGGGATTGCGGATCATGCTAGGAAGCTGGAAAGGGCATCCTGCAGTTCAACAACATCTCTAATGCTGCAATCCAGATTGAGAGCCTTCTGATGCACATGTCGAGCCGGTCCTTAACCCAAACCCCGTAGATCCAAACTCACCGCAACTTCTCACCCAAAGCCCTACAAGCCCAACGTAGGACTAGGGCTCCAGTTACCCAAATAGTAGGGTCATGGGGTAGATAGTATATGGTTAGTAACCTACTATGTAGGTAACTGGAGCCCTAGATTAGGTCCCAAGCCTTAACCAAGCCTTAAACTACCTATATAGGGACCCCTTTAGGGCCGAAGTACCTAATTACTTTTTGGGCACATGGAATCTTAGGGCCCTGTGCAGACTCTTTTCCTTCCCGCGCAGACTCCGCCAGCTGTCTGCACCAGCCGCGCGCCTCTGTGGGACCAGACACGAGCCGGGATTTGGTCTAGGGGCCTGAGTAACTAGAGCAGGGTTCCTTTCAAGGGGTCTATATATAGGGGCTATACTATAAGGGATCTATAGTAGGGTTCTAATATGTTTAGTAATCAGAAAAGGGCTTTTGGGACCCATTCAACTATATTGATAATAAGGAGCCCCCAAAATAGTATTGGTAAATATTAGGGTTTTGGGGCCCATTATACTATAAATGGAATGAGGAACCCCACCCCCAAAAAACAAACAGCTTAGGTAAGTATTTGGGCGCCTAATATAGTACCCATTTCGACCCCTTATCGTAACCCTTAAAGACCCCTTTGAAGGGACCCTAGGAACCCTGAAAGGTAAGTATCTAGGCCCCCAATATTGGCGGTGGAGCCTTGGCCGGCCTGGTCGTTAGGTTAGAGGAGCTGGATCTAGGGTTTAGGGTTTAGGGTTTAGAGTTTAGGGATTTAAGGTTTAGGAGGTTCGAGTTTAGGTCTATAGGGTAGTTTAGTCTACATTTAGGGTTTCGGGCCTAGGAGTCTAGAGTTTCTGTTTAGGATTTAGGGTAGTTTGGTCTACATGTAGGGTTTCGGGTTTAGGAGTTTAGAGTTTCTGTTTAGGATTTAGGGTAGTTTGGTCTACATGTAGGGTTTCGGGTTTAGGAGTTTAGAGTTTCTGTTTAGGATTTAGGGTAGTTTGGTCTACATGTAGGGTTTCGGGTGTAGGAGTTTAGAGTTTAGGTTTAGGATTTAGGGCAGTTTAGTCTACATGTAGGGTTTCGGGTTTAGGCGTTTAGAGTTTGGGTTTAGGATTTAGGGTAGCTTAGTCTACATCTAGGGTTTCGGGTTTAGGAGTTTAGAGCTTATATAGGTTTGTGATTTAGGGTAGTTTAGTCTACATTTAGGGGTTCGGGTTTAGGAGTTAAGAGTTTAGGTTTAGGATTTAGGGTAGTTTAGTCTACATGTAGGGTTTCGGGTTAGGAGTTTAGAGATTAGGTTTAGGATTTGGATAGTTTAGCCGTTTAGCCTACATTTTGGATTTTGGGTTTAGGTTTAAAGTTGAGGGTTTAGGTTCAGGGTTCTACTAGCACTCAGAGACAAGGAAGACCTGAAGCAAATCCTGGTTTGGAGGGGCAAGGGGGTTGGGGGCGGGCTTCATGGTTGCTTAGATCGGGTCCTAGGGTCTTGTTGTAGAGAGGGTTAGAGTTGAAGTGGAGCCCGAGGAGATTGGGTTCGGCATCCTACTGTGCAGGCCTGAATATTAGAATAGGGTTTTTGGGGTATGCTATTACTATGGTTAAATATGAAGGAGCCCCCAAAATAGTATCGGCAAGTATTTATGCTACGATCTTCTGATGCTTGAACTTTACAAGGGCGAAACCCTACCCCTATACCCACGTATGACGAATGCCAGTCCTCATGATCAGCCGGTGGGCGGCCTTTTGGGTCTGCCCACCGGCTTGCTTTTGTGGGCGGGCCTGCCCACCTGGCGGCTGGCCTGCTGGGGGCCGGGGGGTGGGCCCTTGATCAAGGGAAGGCAGCATTGCCCTGCTTCGGCCCGGGTGGGCGGCCCTTGGGCTTCGCCGGGGGTGGGGGCTTGGGGGGGAACAAAATCGCCGCCAGCAAACAGCGGTGCTGGAGGATTATGGGGGGGACCAAGTCTGCCGGCACCCACTTGGCTGCGGCCGCACCGGCCTGCACCCCCACCTCTCGCCGCGGCGGCGGCGGGTCCTGTGAGTAAAACTGTTCAACTCAAACCGTTCAAGTTACTGAGACTCTTCATCTCCACGCGCCCCCGGCTGAAGCTTCGTTCGAGTCATCTACCCCTCGCCAAGTAGGGGGTTGAGGGTTTAGGGTTTTATGGTCTGGGGCTTAGGGTTAACGGCGGCAAAAGATCCGTCAGGAGAGGATCAGTCTGCCAAGAGACCCCCGATCCCGAAACCTCCGTTGCCCTCAAAAGCCAGCAACCAACCCCTATCAAACCCTCAGCAGCACTCCGAAATCCTGTAACCAAATCAGCCGCCACCATATCCCTAAACTCTAAACCCCTAAACCCCGAAACCCTACACCCAAACCCTAATCCTACCTATAGTCTCCATTGTAGTAGGACCATCAAACTGGATAACCAAAAAAAGGAACTACCATGGATACTATAGGTAAATCGAAAAGCTGAACCCCTGGGTCTACCCCAGACCTTAAACTCTGGACCCTTCTGTCCCTAAGCCCTAATCCCTTATATCCCTAAACTCGAAGCCCTTATATCCCTAAACCCAAATCCCTTACATCCCCTAAACCCTAAGCCCTTTATCCCTAAACTCTAACCCCTTATATCCCTAAACTCTAACCCCTTATATCCCTAAACTCAAAGCCCTTATATCCCTAAACTCAAAGCCCTTATATCCCTAAACTCTAAGCCCTAAACCCTAACCCCCTCAACTCTAAACTCTCAACCCTTATATCCCCTAAGCCAAGACCGCGGAAATGGCCCACCTGGAAGGATCTTGTTCATTCCGTCCGAACCTCGAAGCAGAAGACTCTGGTCTCCGTGTTAAGGGCTTAGCCAAACAGGGTTTAGGGTTTAGGGGGTTAGGGTTTAGGGTTTAGGGTTTCTTTTATTTAAGTGCAATGACCCCTTTCCAACTCTCGCAGGAAGAGCAGGTACTGAGCCCGCCAACTCGGCATGCTTAGGGTTTACCTTAAGCCGGAATAACCTATCTTTTTAGGGCTCCTTATTATGATTTCCTTATATAAGTCGTTAAAAGGGTAAGTTATTCCGGCTTAGGGCTTAGGGTTTAGGGTTTATAGTAGAAGACAGAAAGTTGGAACATGACTTTAGGAGGATTAGTGCTAGGATCCCTTATGCTTTACCTTAAGGGCATGAGGGTAATGATGTTCCAACTTTCTGGCTTCTACTGTAGGGTGGTTAGTCTCAACATGTCTCAACAGACGCATTGCCCTTTGCCGATGGGTCAGTCTTAACACAGATTTTGCCAAAGCATAAAGGTAAACGGGTTGGAATCGCTTCCTTCCAGTCATTCATGGGCCGTAACCTTGGCCGAAATCCGAGCAAAACCCTTCGCAGTTTTCGGCAACAAATCCTACAATGGGCCATCTCTATACCCTAGACCCTGAACCAGCCCCACTTGCACTTAGAAGTGGGTGTTTCGAGCCTGGGACCAAGGTATCTAGAACGGCCCTAGACCCATGTGGGATGTTGCTCCCTAAACTCAGCAATCAATATATATATATATATATATATATATATATACACAGACATACATGGTCACTTGGCGGCAGTTCCATCAACCCTTCGTAAATTTCATGGTGCTTCTCCGGTAGCTCAATACGTCGGTAACTGGGCCCTAAACTTAAACCCGAAACTCTACGCCCTTGACCC